CCATTTTAATCTCAATGCCCAATGGTATTGCCCTAAGAAAACCGCTGAAAATTTGTGTTGGAATTCGAAAGTGTCCCTATTTCCCCTAATCTACGGTATAGGGAGCTTAAAGCAGACAAATTACCATCACCATGAGCGCTAGTCACTAGCCTTCTATCCTTAACACCAAATAGGTTTTGTAAAAAACATAATGTTGATATATAAAAAAAACGCTACATACGCTAAACGATTATAGAAAAAAAAATCAAGTTACTTTTTATTTATTTATTGCCTAGATATGTGGACGAGCTCACAGCCCACCTGGGATTAAGTGGTTACTGGAACCCATAGACATCTACAACGTAAATGCGCCACAGACCTTGAGATATAAGTTCTAAGGTCTCAGTATAGTTACCACGGCTGCCCCACCCTTCGAACCGAAACGTATTACTGCTTCACGGCAGAAATAGGCGGGGCGGTGGTACCTACCCGTGCGGACTCACAAGAGGTCCTACCACCAGTAATTACACAAATTATAATTTTGTGGGTTTTATTTCTATTACACGATGTTATTCCTTCACCGTGGAAGTCAATCGTGAACAATTGTTAAATACGTATTTCATTAGAAAAATTGGTACCCGCCAGCGGAAGTCGAACACCGTTGCATCGCTATATACGAATGCACCGGACGTCTTATCATTTAGGCCACGACGACTTCAAATCTTAAAGACGTACTTAGAAATGAATGCAACCGACTCACGCTGTACTGAAGTTGCATTGACTGCCGAATTACGTAGTTAAGTAAGCCCGGTAATGATATTGACAAAGGTTGTGGAACACCGAATCGTTGAGCAGTGACGTAGCGATCTTAACTCACGCCCGGGAGACAATACCTTTTTAGCGTAATATTTTCCAGAAAACAATAATAATGAAAATAAAAATTATCCAGCAATTTTTTGTTTTGTGTAACATTTGGCGGCGCCCCTTTGTGAGTAGCGCGAGGGACATGGTGCCCCTTCTTGAACCCCAAACCCCCAACCGCCCCCCGCTACACCACTGCAGCTGAGATACAAAATACAGTTGTCTCGGCTAAGGTCCGTCTCAACGGGGGCTCGGAAGCAGGTATTCAACTTCAATATGACATCCGCCTACTGCCCTTGACGCGGAGGTCGCGCGATGTCCAACCTCAAAAAAGAAAATCACATTTCAACTTTGTAATCCCTAAAAGCAACTAGATTCATAGAAGACTTCATCTAGATGCTTCCGTATTAATTCAAGCATTGTACTACTTAAGTATTTAAAATCCAATCATTGGGTACAGTGGAAAATTTTAATTTTCAGTACACAGAAATTACGAGTATACTGTTGTTTAACTAGATAAACGATCTATTACAATGAAATTGTTATTAGAAACATAACAATAACTCCGAACATGCTATTGTTTACGATAAACCATATGCATATAACAATAAAAAATAATTTATCAATTATTAAAATAGTAGGCTTTGTTTCACGGCTTAATAAATTAGGTACCGTCTCGTACGGCCATCTATTTCTCAATTTTTATACTAATAAGTGAGTTTTTATAGAACTAGGTGGAGCTACTGGGTCAATACTTCAAGCATTCATCAATAGATGTCATTTTCAAATATGTTTTGATATTCGACGGCAGATGGCGCTTAAATTTTATTGTTTTGAGTGCAACTGAGCTACTGGATACTACATCTACTACTCAGTAATAGACTTTAAATATCATAGACCTTAAAGATTGCAATGAAATTATAAAAAAAGAGGAAACATTGAATAAATTTATGATACATTTAAATGAAATTATTTGTAGCCTCAAAAAATTTAATAACACTTAAATATAATTTAATGCACTGTGTTTTACATTTCTATTTACACTTTTACAAAACATTATATAAATTTACATGGCATCTTAGTTGCTTTCATTTACATATAAAGTTATATATTATATTTATTTACTATTCTACTCAAAACCCTCTTATCATATATTATTTTACCTCTCATTATAATAATTATATTCAAATATTTAAATACCTATGCATCTTGTTAAATTGCGAAGTAGTCAATAGCGTCGAAATTTAACAAAAGTATCTATTAGCTTTTATAAAAATAAAAAATAAACTCAATAATAGATGTCGTTTTCAAATATATTTTAGTATTCGACGGCAGATGGCGCTTAAATTTTATTGTGCTGATCTACTAGATACTACTTCTACTACTCATCAATAGATGTCGTTTTCTAACTTAACGCCAATGCACATTATTTCACTGTTTTATTTTTTATTTTTTTTAATTAAACTGTATACCAATTAATTGCTCCTTCAGGATTTATATTTGTTTTTTTTTTCACGATTAAAACCGCGTAGAAAGTTTAGGCATTATAGTTGACGCATGCGCAGTACACATATTTTGCATACATTTATTCAACTAATAAAAATAGTAAATTAAACAAAAAACGAGTAATTTCGAAAGAGAACAAACGTGTNTAATAAAAATAGTAAATTAAACAAAAAACGAGTAATTTCGAAAGAGAACAAACGTGTTTTATATAAGAACAATCGAAAATGAATATTTACGAGTCATTAAGGATGAAAAAATATTAAAAATTGCATTAGAGGGGCTAACTTGTAGGTATATTTTTAAATATTTTTTTAAAATAAATAAATGCAGAACAAACAATTATTAACAGTGAGCAATCATGAACAAATGATGAACAAACGAATTAATAGAAAATAAGTATAAAATAGGAAAAAAAAATTTTTTTTAAGGGGCTAACTTCATTCACCTGCTCAGCTGAGCTACTGGATACTACTGCTACTCATCAATAGATGTCGGTTTCAAATATAAAGGTTTCAGCTGGAGTTATTTGAACACCAAGCGCAAAAACCAATTTAAAGTTGTAAACCACAAAAACGTTTCTTTAAAATTCAAAGCAGAGATTTCAGCTACGTTTTAAGTGATTTATGTTAATAAGCCATTATAAAGTCGAGCCATTTGAAGTAGAAACATCTTTGTCTACTTCTTCAAATACAATCTATACATATAAATAAAATTGGGGTGTCTCTTGGTAATATTTAAATAACCGCTTTTTACTACATGCATATGAATATATATACGATAAATACACCAAAATAACATTCTTACAATTTTGGTGTCTTTCTGTCTGTCTGTTTGTTCCGGCTAATCTCTGGAACGGCTGGACCGATTTTGACGGGACTTTCACTGATAGGTAACTGATGATATAAGGAGTAACTTAGACTTTTTTAGGCTAGCTTCGCTCCGCGGCGTCAACCGCGGTACGACAATAACCATGGTTAGCATCGCGGGACTCATCTAGTTTGAAATAAAACACAAGAGTTAAATATGAAAATAAAACATTTTATTAAACTTAATATTTATTTACAGCTAAGATCCAACTGTATGGCACTGATCTATTGCTAGCTTGAGAAGTGTGCAATCCAGTGCTAGTTATAGGCGTTGGCACTATTTGAAACGCCCAAACGACTCATTACCTCAAACTCCGACTCCACTCAACACTCGAATGCATTACTCCAAATTAATCCTCAGTCGAGTTAAAGAATCAGTTAAATAAACTCACACTCGAAGAAACATTACATTGTTGTTTAAACTAATACTAAGTTTATTTTCGCTTAGAATTAAAAAAATTTATTTAAAACGTTTTAAGCGTCTTCGAGATAACCGCGAATTGCACAGGGAGAACACAGGGACTCCTCAAGGCGTTTCCTCGGTTGAGTAGAGGTAAAGGAAACTACTATTATATTGTGTAGTTACCGCTTTTTAATATCTGATTTGAAGATATCATTAATTTAATGAGTAGCTATGAGCAATTTTTTTTCTTGTATCCAAATTTTTTTTTATTGCTTAGATGGGTGGACGAGTTCACAGCTCACCTCGTGTGAATTGGTTACCGGAGTCCATGAGACATCTACAACGTAAATGCTCTACCCACCTTGAGATATGAGTTCTAAGGTCTCAGTATAGTTACAACGGCTGCCCCACCGTTCGAACCGTAACGCAATACTGCTTCACGGCAGAAATAGGCGGGGTGGTAGTACCTACCCGTGCGGACTCAAGACGTCCTACCACCAGTAATCACGCAAATTATAATATTGCGGATTTGATTTTTATTACACGATGTCCTTCACCGTGGAAGTCAATCGTGAACATTTGTTAAGTACGCATTTCATTAGAAAAATTGGTCCTACTACCAGTTAAACCAAGATAACCAGACGGCTAAACCAGGGGTTTTATTATGGCGAGCACATTGTCCGCATCATAACAGATGCACATTATTCGCCTCCGACGAACGTGCGTTCGCCAGTACAATGCGCAACGTGAAATCATTACTTACAAATAAATTTAAAATAAATTATTTTATTTCATTTGTGCTTCAACTATGTCCATACATCGCGTGATAATAAATCCTTTAGAAATTTAATTAAAAATGTAATAGCGAACTAGAATTATAAACTTATCGAAATCATCTTACTATAAATTAGTAAGAACGTTGATCATAAATTGAGCATATATTTAAATATGAATACCATGAGCCCACAATTCATATTCGTGCTTATGTATTGCAATTTATTTAAAACATAATAAATTTTCCTGTCCCAAGTTTCATCCATAGATAACACATGCCTTTGTAAACATCATTTTAGCGCGTTTTTTTTTTGCCTACTTACTATGGTAAGCTTGGGCCACTTTTGCGCTGAAAGCCTCATATATAAACACACATATGAGTCGACTATTATCAAAGCCGGCAATGTGACTTTTGGAAAATTATTGGTAAATCAGAAAAACGAATTATTGACTTTGTATTCCATTGGCAGTCACAAAACTCTTCTGAACGACATCTTAGATAAATAACAGGTTAAGTATTAACCTTTATTTAATGCAGGTTTTGAACCGTATTCTTTGAAGAAGACGATTATATTCAAATCAATCTGTACTGACATATCAATAACATTTTTTTGTCCAAATGCACAGATTGCCACCTTTGATAAAAGACGACTCATATATTATATATATGTATATAGTTCATGACACGTGAATACAATTCCGTATAAATAGTGTACGTGACGTCATATGACGTCCATTTTTTTTAACCGACTTCATAAAATGAAGAGTCTCAATTCGATAAATATATTTATTTAATGGCACGTCTCATTTTATTAACACGTAATGATAAAAAAGGAATTCTTATATGTATAAAAGTTTAATTAAAAAAATTAACTTACACTAAACCTGATTATACAATATGTATATAAATAATTGTAAGAGTGTCGATTACTTGCAAGTTCCTTTCCATCGACGCGTTTTAAGGACACGCAATGTATCACAATTAATAATGAACTGACGCGCGGTATCAACGCCCTCGCGCGACCGTGACGGCTTATTCGAAACAACAATAATCAGGAAATTAATTGTTTTTTAATTCAAATTACTATATCGGCACAGAGAACGATCTGTATACAGCCTAAAACACATACATCTTGTTTGTCTATGATTTAAAAAAAAAAAACAAGGATAATAGTTTCGTGTCCTGGCGGCGTCTTCTGCAATTAACCGACGCTCGTACGAACAGAAGCAGAGTCAAGGAGTCTCTCGTACGCAACTTAAATTATCTAAGCCATTATTTCAATAAGACCTATAAAATGACGCTCATTACAATGATAGTAAGGCTTCGTTCGAATTGGTCATTCGAAATCTAATGAATGAAAAATGTCATATACAAATTTAGAAATTTTTACATTCTTACAGCGCCATCTTAATCCTTAGAGCGCGAACCGTCGATATATGTACTTATTAATGCGTATAAAGTGTGAAGCGTCAATGATTTTGAGTGTTAGATATCGACCTGTACTAAATCAAAAACATTTATAAATAACCATTAAAATATATTTCGCTGTAAATTTAGCATCGATTTTTGTTTTTTTTTTCAAAAACTTAGCTTTTTATTGCAAAATGTGTGAAAATAAGCTAAACTATTAAAAAAGGTTAAAGCCACTTCGGTCGTAGGGAGCTTCCGCAGAGAGACTTCCTTTAACTCCTTCTTATATAACAACCAAAATATAGAGACACGAGTGCTGTACGGTACAGTCCACGCCCAAAGCTTTTGTTCGTCGGTCGAGTCGTGTGACAGAGACAGCGCTAGCCGGGACTAGCTCCGTCTCACCGGACGCGGACTGTACCCGTGCTCTCGTCTACCAATCAGAGCCATGACGACGGATTCAAATTCTAAAATAGAACGAACGATATTCAAATCGATCTATCGCCGGCGACCGGGTACGCGCAACAAGCGAAAGGTCCGATGTGCGCGAATTTAAAATAGGAATTTGATTTTTAAATAGCTTTAAGGAATTAGGTTATTATTGCATTTATTGTATCTGATATTTGAAAGATGCGACCTGGGTTCTGGATGGGGTAATACCGCGAGTGACCTTACCTACCCTGCACCCGTGGACATCAGCACAGACACCACGTTCGAAGGACCTGTGACGCTCCAACTCGTCGCGTCATGAGAATTGATAGCCTACCCTGTTAGCTGGACTAGAGGCAGCCCCTCACCGCAGCGCTACCACCGACGTCATGGCTCTGATTACGGAGGCTCCAATCAGTCGTGGCTGATCCTCAGCTCAGCCAGCTCTTTCTCGTCGTCCACCTCGTCCTCCTCGCTGTCGGAGCCATGGACCGAGGCGGCCGGAGTCGTGGCTCCTGCGGATGACGTCACAGCATTAATTCAACTAAGGTTGAGTCTCGGAATAACCACTCCAGTGGCTTTCAAATGGAACACATAATTGCTCGGCGTTAACGCGTGATACCCATTAGACTAGGTTGTGAGCTCAAACAATCCAGTGAAAAAACCCACAGACTCTTCATTATCTACTCTAAATTTAATTAGCTCAGTGAGGTGCGAGGACATATCGCTAACTGTATTCAGGAGTAGGGATATTCCGATACTAGTAAATACGAGTAGGTACTCGATACTTTTGATTCGATACCAAGTACTTATAGCATCGAATCAATCTTGCGATACATACTCGGTATCGAAACAAAAGTACTTGGTATCAAATCTAATCGGCATTACCATTAAAAAGTTTAAAATTTCCGAACGCATCATACAGAACGAGAGAGCAAAAGTCTTCTCGCTCGGTTATCGGTATTCATCCATTTTTTCTTTTTTCCAAAGCCGGTGCATCAATGTCTCAAACAAGGAACAGATTGTCTCCAAAATACCTCGAACAGTTACCTTGATGCCAAAAAGTTTTTTGTTTAAAGTAGGTACTTAAAGTGACGCAAAACTTTTATAGGTAATAAAAGAATTTTTTCCTTCTCAATTTTGTTTTAATTATTGTCCTTCAACGTTAATTATTTTTACGTGAGTTTCCTCAGAAAAAAAAGTGCTAAAAGTATCGATATCAGTAAGTGTGGATACTTTAGGAGTATTCATATAAATAGTATCGAAAAAAGATTTGAGTACTATCGAAATGAGTATCGATACTTTGATGGTATCGGAACATCCCTATTCAGGAGACCGAACTTAATCTGTGTGAGCTCTTGGACTACAATCGTGAGATCGAAATCTCAACCACGACCCAACTTGAGAAATGTCTGAGATAAATACAACACCAAGCCGCGTTACAACCCGACAAACTATTTAGAAACGCGTATAAGACAAACACACCTGATGTCTCATTTGACAGCTGTCAATTTTGACAGTGTCACCGTTGAATTCGGTCAGCGATATACACACGTGATGTAGACGAAGCGGTGCTTAAACTCTCTCAAGTTGCGTATTGTTGTTATTGTCGGCACATATTGCCGCACCCCCCTGCCCCGTGCGAATTGACACCTCGTGCCGCCACCAAAGAATGAAAGATTTGAACGCGGGATTCACACGATTTTTCGAGATGCGAATTTGTGTGTGCTGACACCATGTGGATCCCGTGTCGAGGAGGCGCGGGGCTCCGGGTGCACTCGAACCTCGCACTACTCCTGGGAGGCGCAGTCGCCGAGCTTGGCTATCAGCTGGTCGATTCGCTCGGCTACTTGCTCGGTAGACTCGGCGAGGCATTCGTTCGGGGTGCGGTAGTTGTCGGGCTCCGGCTCGGAGTCCGGCCCGGGCTCGGCCCGCACGTCGGGCGCCTCCACCGGCCGGGCCGTGCTCGTGCAAGACGCGGAGAGATAGCTGCAGTCGTCCACTTGGCGGACTGCAGACAGGGCAATGTTCTACTGTCTATGGACTACGGCGCACGCGCCGTCATAACACTTCTATTTTTATATATATATATGATAAAGATATGCCTTCTTCCAAGTACATTATGTTTATTAAGGTGAGTGTCTGTGTGAGCGGAGAGTTGAGTGTCGGAGTGTGTGTCGGGTTGAGTGGCGAGGTGAGTGTCGATGTGAGTGTAGGGGTGAGTGGGGCGGGTTAGGGCGATATGAAAGTCGGAGAGTAGGGTGGAGAGTGTCGGTGTGAGTGTGAGTGTCGGAGTGAGGTGAGTAGCGGGGTACGTACTGGAGTGCGCGGGGCTGGGCGGCTCGGACAGCGGGCGCGGGTAGGTGAAGGCGCGCTCCAGCTGCACGTCCGCGTGGTCCACGTACTCCGGGTACACGGTGCGCAGGGCGCGCGCGCGGGCCTGCCGGTAGTACTGGAGGACGAAGGTCACGGGGGGTCATTAGTATAACAAGTATTACACGGTCCTCCGGTCCCCAATTAGGATCCCCTGTACTGTAGGAACCGAAGCCTGACGTACATACCTATATATATGTATGTACTGTAAAAACTCAAGGTGGGTGGCGGCATTTACGTTGTAAATGTCTATGGCCTCCAGTAACCACTTAACAGCTAATCTAACAGCTGGGCTGTTAGATTGTCCACCAATATAAGCAATAAAAAAAACGAATGTTTGCATGATATGGGAATCGAACCCAGGACCCTCAGCGTAACGATCAGAGCCGCTAATAACTCACCACCGATTCAGTCTGTTATTCGCTTTGATAGTTCAGTGAGGCAGTTATTATAGTCTCTTACAATTCCAAGGTTCCTCCAGTCCAGTAGATCCGACAGCCTCTCAGTTCGGTTCCTCTGTATGATGCGTTGACGACGAGACATTCTGCAATTATATATACACATATACAATACATACATAAACATCCTCAAACGTGCACTACATTTTAAGTGGACAAGCTTTTTAAATTGCTAATACAGATATGGTCCCCAAAACCCAGAGAAATACCACCAATGAAAACCATATCAAGCCACTTCACACATTCTTGAAATGAGGTGGGGGGAGTAGATGTTGTTGATTGAAACACGTATTGTTTATACGACGTCTTCTATTATACTGAACTTACACACTACAGACACTTCTTTGTCTGAGTTCTGCCTCAGTATAGTTACAACAGCTGCCACGTCCTTCGAACCGAAACGCATTACTGCTTCACGGCAGAAATAGGCAGGGCGGTAGTATCTATCTGCGCGGACTCACAAGACGTCCTACCACCAGTAATCACACAATTTTTGTAGTTTTAACACGTTGAACGCCACATGAAAATTCATGTATTTTCAATCAAGCCACGAGGGTCACCCGTGAGCCGCGTAAGTGTTCCAACGTAAACACTTCCTACAAGCTACAAGATTGCAGGTAGTAAACAAACCACGTGGCATTTTAGACCCAGTGAGCCGCGTGGCATTTTAGACGTACCCAACGCGGTGGTTTTCTAATTCAATAAAAAATTGTAGTTTTTATCTTGTAGCCTTTTAAAATATATCTTTAAAAATAAGTTTAGGTATGTAAACGTCGCTAATTTTTATCTTCCGTGCAATATATCGCATTTTAGAATGAAAATCTCAATTTGATAAAAATTACTGATTCCCTGATTTTGTCTCAGCCCGAATGGTACGAGTATAGTGCGCTAGGCCCACCGGGTCGAGAGGGGCAGGTAGGGGGCTCATTCGTTACTTTAGGGGTTGTGAGAGCAGGCGGAGCACACTTACTTGGTGAAGTCGTACATGTACTGCGCGAGCTGCTGCACGGAGCCCTCCAGCGAGATGTACCGCCGGTCCACCACGTAGATCCCGTAGGACATGGGGTCCGCGATGTGCTCCTGCATGAAGCAACCGAACCCTGACGCAGACAACCGCTTTGTACCCACGACAGCTTCTAGTGCTACTCTCATCATCATAGTCGGCTGCTCTTGGCAGAGCAATCGTGGTCGTGTGGAATCCTTGCTTATTAAAGCCTTGACAGATGTTCTCCATAGTTCGCGAACTGAGGCTCGGCGCACGCACTCGTTAAGTGAGGTTTCAGTAAGGTCTTTCACTTGATCAGTCCAGCGAATGAGGCTTCCTCCACGAGATGTTTTACCATTGACGGACATTACGGACATTTTCTAAATTCCCTAGTGAGACTTCGAGTGCATGTTTTGCAATCACTTACCACCATGTGGGCTCATCTGTTTATCTAGAGAGAGCGGTTCCCAAACTTATTTTGTCTACTGCCCACTTTGAGAATAAATTATATTTTAGCGCCCCCATTTTTTCACATACTTAAAAACCACTATAGCGAGAGCTCAATCGGTATCTAAGGGTCCTCCTAGATGAAATTACAAAGCGTCTCCCAAGATTCTACACAACGGCCCCTTTTTTTCTGGGTCTTTTACCGCCCCCCTTGAGGCCTCCAGCGCCGACTAGAGACTTTATCGCCCACTTTGGGAAAGGCTGATCTAGGTCAATAAAAGACCGACTATGCAACGTTATAATTCGACTAAATCCTCGTGGTGTGCCTTGCTGATGGCAATGTCACTGATGTCCCTTACCGGACAGGTTGGTCGTGATGCTAGGTATGCCCATGACGGTGCACTCGGCCGGCGTGTAGCCCCAGGGCTCGTAGTACGAGGGGAACACGCCGAGGTGGCAGCCGCGCACGAACTCCTCGTACTCCAGACCGAACAGGGGGTTCGTGGACGTCAGGAACTCCGGGTGGAATATCACCTGGGGGTATCAGTCGGTGCGGTGAACATTTCATCAACGTCCTTGTTATTTAAAGTCCGATGAAACGGAAACGACACTACAAAAAGTGATTTAAATTTTAGGACTTAGCATGCGAGAGAACGAGATAGAAATACTTCTGTCTCTACTTTTTTAACGTGGAAGAGATTAGTTTCCTAAAGCCTTTCCAACTTTGCCAAAACAGGCGAACGCAGGATCAGCCAGGAGGGGTGGGATTGACTAACACTGCCCGAGCGCCTCCAATGAAGACCTAGCAGCTCAAAAGTAACGGCTTCACGAATCTACCACCGGATCGGAATCGCGACCCACTGAGAAGATCCACCGATAAACTCAGCGGGCTGATGCATGGGTTAGGTTCCACGTGAAACTCTTCGAAGAGTTCAACGAGTACGGTTACTAAGGTCCCTAAGCCTGCTCCAAGTGCTAAAGCTGCGGGAGTGTAATGAGTGTCAGATGCTCTTTCTTTCAATGACAAATATGAAAATCGTCTAAAGACAGCTCCGATGGTAGTTCGCAAATAACATGACGGATCATGACGTCAGCAGTGCTGTTAGCGCGTGCGAGAGAGGCAGCAACTTGTACCCGCGACACTCTTCTCTCTGTCAAAGCATTCTGGGATACAATGCGGGCGCTATCTATACTAACGTTAAATGTGTTTATGTTTACAACTTTAGATAAAATTTCGCACGGACATAGCTTGGAGATTAGATGAGCGCTTTGGATAATTTTGATTATAAATGATTTAAGTTAGGACTGAATTTTATGTATCAACGGATCTACAATTCAATTGGTAGTTTATGGAGAGGGGAGGACGGGTAGGGGGGTCACAGGGAACTCCTTGTTGCCAGGAAAATGGGATATTTTATATTCTTTCTGAATCATAAACTGAAGTCTGATGAAACCGTGGTGCATGTCTAGTATTAAGAACTGATTGAGTTCTTAATAATCAAGACGGGCGGTGGTGAACCGAAAAACTCCTTACCGTACCTTGACACTGTCGTTGACAGTGTTGAACAGCTCGNCGGGTAGGGAGGTCACAGGGAACTCCTTGTTGCCAGGAAAATGGGATATTTTATATTCTTTCTGAATCATAAACTGAAGTCTGATGAAACCGTGGTGCATGTCTAGTATTAAGAACTGATTGAGTTCTTAATAATCAAGACGGGCGGTGGTGAACCGAAAAACTCCTTACCGTACCTTGACACTGTCGTTGACAGTGTTGAACAGCTCGCATCTTCTTATGGAGTTCAGCACGGGGTCACTCCAGTCGTCCACCTGTGGTAGCAAAGTGAACCATCATCAGACGAGGTTCGGTACGGTGGGCTCTTGTTGGTCAATATTACGAACACTTACACCTGGTGTTAAGTGGTTACTGGAGCCCATAGACATCTACAACGTAAATGCGCCACCCACCTTGAGATATAAGTTCTAAGGTCTCAGTATAGTTACAAGGACTGCCCCGCCCTTCAAACCGAAAGGCATTACTACTTCACGACAGAAATAGGCAGAGCGGTGGTACCTACCCGCGCGGACTCAAGACATCCTACCACCAGGTGGTATGTAAATCCTTCTGAGAGCACAGACAAAAATTAACAATATTTTTTTATTAAATAACTAATACATACAAAAATAGAAAGTAATTGGTACAGCCACGTCTAGTATCGGTGTCTTGCGAAAGAGACAGCTGGTTTTACGTCACCGTTGTGACGTCACCACCGAGTGAACTACGCTACCCGCAAGAGCAATAAATAAATTACCTTTTCGTTTCATTGTCTAGATATTGCAAATGACTTCGATTCGTTTCCGAAGTCCATATCATACTATACAAGATATTTGACAGACGCCTGAATCTCGCATACGACATTTTCAAAATAAGCGTATATATATTATTATACAAGTTCTGAACAACAACATTTGGTGTCATAAATCTACCGAGCTATATCAGTCCTTGTCATATATCTCCCCAAAGTCCTACCTCAAGATATGAGGTGGTACACACTACACTAAGACATCACCTGCAAACTTCCTTTGACGTATTGACGTGTTCTCGTATCCTGAACTTAATAGAGTTCAGAAAGTTTCAACGTCATTTTTTTTAATGCCCTTGTAGGCAGGCGAGTATACGGCCCACCTGATGAGGAATGGTTACTGTCGCCCATGGACTCCAACAATGTCAGGGGTAGAGCCAAGCCGCTGCCTACCGCTTAATACTCTCCAGAAGCCTCGGTTGAATGACATGTCATAGCGCGCATTTTTTTTAATACAGAGGATCATCTTAGTTGTATAGGTCTGGGGTAGCACTGCTCCTTCGGCCCCCCCTCCTCGATCCCCCACGGTCCTTCGGTCCCCCACACAGTCCGGCGGTCTCCCTCCTCGGTCCCCCGCGTGCTCACGGCTACTCACGACGTTGTGCGTGGTGACAGGGGGCAGGCCGTCCCGCTGCAGCGCGTAAATGCAGCGCTTGAGGCGCACTGTGTCCTCCTTTAGCAACAGCTCGGTGGGCTCCGGCACGTGGCCTCTGCAACCAACCACCAGGATCGTTGTTTACTCACGTGTGATGTCACGGGACACGGTGCGTTTCAGTATATATCGAGCAGTGAAAAGTTACTTAGATTAAGCGATACTTCGCTTAACACGCGATATTTATCTTTGTGATTAAAGTTACGTTTTATTTGGTATTAGCGTCAACTGTAACTCTCTTCTGTAAAGTTACAAAAATGTCGATTAAACCATACAGCCTTTCACCTGTCGATAAATAAATAGTTTAAAAAGCTAGTAAAATGATAGGTTCCAATAACTTTATTGGTGGTAGGACATCTTGTGAGTCCCCACTGATAGGTACCACCACCCTGCCTATGCCGGGAAGCAGTAATGCGTTAAAACTGAGACCTTAGAACTCATATCTCAAGGTGGATGGCGGCATTTATTGTATGCGCGCGAGTTCATGTCCATCGGGGCCAAAGGCGACGTGCGGAGGGCGGGGGGCACCTCCCCGCATTTGTCAGACGTAGGATGTTGTCCTTGACAGTTGTGACCCGCGCTCATCGATACCGAAAATTTACGCTAACGCTATTGTGTTATTTCACTGTAAATAAACCATAACTACTCCGCTTCGAACAAGTTTAGGTAGAAAAAAAATCTACTGAAAAAAGACACTGATTCAGACTCAGATCTGTCGGTTGTCTTTCCATCTTATACTGATTGAATTGGAATTTAAAAAATATTTGTCTCTATTAGAAATAAATAAGTAATTACTCATCACATTTATTATTTTATTCACATTTATTCTTTGTTCATAATTTGCAAAATTACCTTCAGTTACAAATAAAGCAAATTGACAGCTGTTTACTAAATCGGTGGTTATTATCGACATTACCATAATTAATTAGGTCACAGCACTACCGCATTCCTCAGGATGGACATGAACTCGCGCGTCTACGGTACGTTATAGATACGCTATTGCTCGCTCCGGGCATTTCAATATTGCAATAATTGTTACGTTACAATACTGCTTGTAAAAATGAATATTTAATTTATAATAAAAAAAAATATTCTATCTAATCTAATATCTAATATTTAAAAAAAAAAGACATGCCTGCTGAATTTCTTGCCAGTTTTTCTCTGGACGGAGGCTAGTTTTGTGAATTGGCGGTAGTTCTTTTTGACGTTCAACAAGTATGTACTTTAATTTGTGTTGAATAAAAAAATATATTTTTATTTTTTATTATGAGATGTCCATGGACTCCGGTGAGCACTGAGCAGCAGGCGAGCCGTGAGCTGGTAGAGGCGGCTCACCGGAGGCACACGTCGTACATCCTGGCGCCGACGCGCTGCTGCACGTGCTGGATGGTGTCGCGCAGGGACTTGGTGAGCGCGTGCCCGCGGAGGGACTCCACGTTGAAGTTGTTCGTCTTCGCCGGGAAGATCAGGAACGCCACCACCGTCACCTCGGAGCCCGACGACTGCGACACCAAAGGAGGGGTCAGTGTGTTTATCGCATTACTGAACACCGTTGCACTTTGAATGAATGAATGAATGATTAATTTTATTTCAGACAACAACAACAAGTCCATATGTGTACATAATATCATTGTAACATACCTAAAATTACAAAAACAAATCGAATAAAAAATATAGAATTAAAAATAGCTATCCGTTGAATTCATTTAAAATATTCCATTCAACTGATACTTCGGACCAACCATTATTATTGTTATTATTTTTATTTAGTCCGCAAGTGAACCCCCTTCTCTCATTTCATGCCATGTTTCATATTAATCAACTTCATTTCATTTCACTTAATATTATCATTATTCACAAAAAAAATATACTTGTAACCTAAAGGTCTAGTTACCAGGTCATAAAATTCCTTAAATTTTTATACGGTATAAAATATAATCTCAGTAAAATGGTGGTCATTTACTGAGACTTCTTCAGTGGACTTTTTGAAGGATCACGAGAAGTTACATCCAGCGGCTTTGTTTCATTTTCCCACATTTGTGCACTTTCACAGATACTAAACAGTTATTAAGCCACCGTTATTACACATTTAAATCTGAAGAAACACTAAATCGACAAAATAAAACAAATCACACAATTTCATTCCTCGCGTTTCGGCCAAAAAGACAAATTCCTTAAAAAAAAAAAACAATTACTTTCAAATAATGGTTGAGTCTCGCTAACGCCTCAATGAATATGTCGGCTCCCTTGTTCCCGAACTCGTATCGTCCAGCGATGAAGAAATACAAGGTTTTGTCGAGATCGAAATTGAAATGGCTGTAACAATAACACGGTTTATTACTGGTGGTAGGACCTCTTGTGAGTCCGCGCGGGTAGGTATCATCACCCTGCCTATTTTTGCCGTGAAGCAGTAATGCGTTTCTGTTTGAAGGGCGGGGCAGCCGTTGTACTGTTACAGCTGAGACCTTTGAACTCATACCTCAAGGTAGGTGGCGCATTTACGTTGTAGATGTCTATGGGCTCCAATAACCACTTAACACCAGGTGGACTGTGAACTCATCCACCCGTCTAAGCAATAAAAAAAAACCTACCCGCGCGGACTCACACGACGTCCTACCACCACCAGTAAGACAACACCACATTAGAAAAAAGTATCGTATTTATGAATTTCATGACACCGGTCGTCGATTGGGAGCCGCTGTCCATGGCCCCTTCATACGTAGAACTGTCTATAATTCCGTTTACCCGTAAAAATGTCCCCTAACGAATTCGTGTATCTTGTCCTTGGCGAGGGCGTGCAGGTTCTGGAACTCGTGCAGCGCCGAGAACTTCTTCACGTTCAAACCGTTCGGGGTGATGATGTCCGGCTTCCGTTTGAGCAGGTACTCGGCTTCGTATCCTAGAACGAGAGGGGAATAGAGTGGGAGTTCGTACGCAATGGTGTAGAGTAGGAGCTGAGACAGCACAGGATTGGAGGCGATTAGTGGTTGGACCTTTAGGTTCTGCCAGCGGTTTTCACATACGCCGCACGCCCCCTAAGAATGGAACCCCGAAAAAGGTTCAGCCCGAAGAAGAAAAGAGATATGTGCATTATCAGAGGAGTACGCATTAGTAATTCGATACTTTAATCATCCCTTTTTTATTGCAAGGAGGGTATGAGATATGAGTTCTAAGATCTCAGTTTTTGCAGTACAACAGCTGCCCCGCCCTTCAAACCGAAACGCATTACTGCTTCAGGCAGAAATAGGCAGGGCGGTGGTGGTACCCGTGCGGACTCACAAGAGGTCTTACCACCAGTAAGTCCCTTCAATAAGAGTCTTACTCATCCGCTCAGTTTTTGATAAAATTCAAAAATTGGCAAAATATATTCAAGGTAACGCGATCGTACTTTTTCTTCTTCTTTCTTATCAGCCCACAGATGTCCATTGCTGGACATAGGCCTCCCCAAGCCTCACCATAAAGATCGATCCTGCGCTGCCTGCATCCAGCGGATCCCCGCGAGCCTCAATAGATCGTCGGTCCATCTTGTGGGAGGACTACCAATACGATCGTACACCACATAAAAATTAGTACGTAAACATTCACCACGTATGACGTCACATGAGTTGGAATTTTTAGATTTGATTAAGTACAGTATTGTAAGTCTGCGCGGGTAGTCGTTTACAAGTCGTCGTGGCCTAAAGGATAAAAAGTCCGGTGCATTCGTATGTAGCGATGCATCGGTGTTCGAATCCCGCAGGCGGGTACCAATTTTTCTAATGAACTACGTACTCAACAAATGTTCACGCTTCACTTCCACGGTGAAGGAATAGCATCGTGTTATAAAAATCAAGCCCGCAAAATTATAATTTGCGTAATCACTGGTGGTAGGACCTCTTGGGAGCCCGCACGGGTAGGTACCACCACTCCGCCTATTTCCGCCGTGAAGCAGTAATGCGTTTCGGTTCGAAGGGTGGGGTAGCCGTTGTAACTATACTGAGACCTCAGAACTTATATCTCAAGGTGGGTGGCGCGTTTACGTTGTATCGATGTCTATGGGCTCCAGTAACCACTTAACATCAGGCTTAACATCTAAGCAATAAAAAAAAAGACACCAATAACTTGCCTTTTTCTACCCAAATATAGTCACACGTTCTTATTTGAAAGGTGATTTCCATTTTACCACTCAGTTAAGACCTGGCCACCTGATAGCTCTGGAGGCTGGTGGTAGACCGACACCACTGACCTGCCTATATCTGCCCTACCGATACCGTCGTCGGGTCTTCTCAGTGGGTCGCGTTTCCGATCCGGTGGTAGATTCTTTTTTTTTTCTACCATCTACGAACCTACCACCGGTTCGGAAAACCGACCAATTCAGAAGATCCGGCGACAAACTCAGTGGACTGTGTCTGTGGGTTAATTTACTCGTCGAGCTCTTCGTCGCAAGCGACGGGTTCGACGAGAACGGTAAGCGGTCGTTAGTGGATCGAGAGGGAAGCACTGCTCTTGCTAGGGCCAGTCTTAACTACGTCACCAAGTTTGAGCCCCGTTAGCTCACCTAGACGTTAGGATTACGCTGACATAGCCTCTCAAGACTATGAGATTAGGTAGGAGAAAAAAATAGGCGTCTGCTCACCCGTGATGTCGGAGACGGTGGTGAAGATGTGCGCCATATGCGAGGCGGCCCGCTCCATGCAGTAGCGGTGGTATATCTGTCTCTTTCCCGCCTCCTCGTCCACCGAGAACTGGACAGAGATGCAACACGTAACGTTACGCACTAAACAAGTGCTCAAAACCACACCAGCTGGTGTTAAGTTGCTATCAAAGCCTATGGGCAACATGACGTGAATTCTGAAGCTTGAGGTATGCGGTCAATGTTTCAATTGTTTAATAATGACGCGTATTAAAGTTTTTGCGGGTTTGATTTTTATTACATAATGTTATTCCTTCATCGTGGAAGTCAATCGTGAACATTTCGTTAGAACAATTGACATCTGCCTGCGGGATTCGAACCCAAGGATGGTCGCATCGCTAGGTACCAAAAACAAAGTATATTCTTCCAGGCCACGACGATGTCAAAATATCTTTGGTTGTGTGGCTTCGAATCCCCTCCTCCTGAGTGTGTGGTAAGAGTGCCACCGAAGGACGGGTAACAGCAGACTGCATGTATTGTACCAGCGCACTGCGACCACGACCCGACACGTACTACTAATTGGTCGAATTTCGCTCATCAGAAGACCAAAGCTTTGGAAAGCTTCACAAACCGGATCGAATGTCAAGCTCACGTTCTTAACACTCAGCATTTAGAATCTCCTCGGAGTCATCACTAGCATGTGACCGCGGAACCAATTCTTCACCACACACATAATTATACATAAAAGTCAATTTTGTTTCGGTGTTACCTTATCCAGGTTATTGTAGAAGTCTGTGTTGCCAGCGCAGAGGTATCTGCCGAGGAGCGTCGCGTGAGTCGTGAATACGGTCGCCACGTCAACATGGCGTACCCTGCGACACGACATAATTATTTCTATTTTAAATATTTTAATTGTGAATTTGTATGTTTGCTACGTAAATCTGATCCGACCAACCAATCAGGACTAGTACTGCCACTGGTCAAGTGCAGCCCTAAGTGTCTTCCAATACTGCTCAATGACGAGTCGCCGGCCAGGTTCAGACAGTTTAGAGTGCCTATGAAAACCTGCTTGTATTTAAAAAAACCATTCCATTTTCATGACCTGATCTCATCGCAACAAAGTCAACGGTTCACTTGTAACCATACTTGTAACCATACTTCGGTTGTAACTATACTGAGACCTTAGAACTTATATCTCAGGGTGGGTGGCGCATTTACGTTGTATATGTCTATGGGCTCCAGTAACCTCTTAAGACCAGGTGGGCTGTGAGCTCGTACACACATCTACGCAATAAAAAAAATTAAAAAAAAATCACATAAGACTTGGGATTGTTACCTAAATCATTCCCCCACTTGTCGTCTTCATTGTGATCACACTGAATCCCGGTTCCTTAGAATCCTAATTATTATTAAGGTGTGGAGTGAGCTTGTTGTGGCAGTATGACTTTAGCGCCATCACGTCTCCTTAAAAACGAACCTTAAAAAAATTTTTCAAAGGCAGGTTCTCCTGGTGTTGCTAAGAAAATAATGGTTATATTGAATGGACGTACCTTAGAACGATGAGCCCGGTTCCCGCCTGCCACTCGTGGAACTGCGCCACCACGCGAGCCGGCACCCCACCGCGCCCCTCCACCGCCTCGCGGAACTGGACGACCAGAAGGGCTTAGAGCATGCTCACACGGGAGGTAGTAACGAGTGTCTTCGAACCCACTTCATGGAGTAATAAGTAGAGCATCTATCCAAACAGGCGACGTTCAACGGGGAATAGGCGGCAAGATTCTCCAACCAAAATGTTTTCAATCCAACACCTTAGCCTATGCCTTTTAAAAGTGCGTGAACATATTGGATCCTATATCGGCCTACTTCATTATTAACAGGAAGATACAACGATGACTATGATGGTTATCGCCAGGCAAATTTTCGAAGCATAAGTGGGTTTTTTCCTCTACCTTTTCACTGGTATCCTAAGAGGCTATTCCAGCTACGCGCGGGTAGGCGAGCTCACGGGCTCAACCTTAGAGAATTTGGTAACACTAGCCCTACCAAGAGTAGTGCTTCGCTGAATCTACCACCGGATCGCAAACGCGACCCACTGAGAAGATACGGCGAGAAACTCAATGGGCTGTGTCTATGGGTTAGTTCGTCGAGTTCTCGAACGTCAAACTCTTCGTCGCAACCATCACATGAATATTTTTACTTTGAACAAACGGTCCATATATTGGTTAGTCACTGAAGCCGTTAGACAAAACAAGGATACCTTGAGACGTGAGGTCAAAACCTCCACTATATTGTGTAGAACTGCTTCACGGCAGAAAGAAGTAGACTGAAAAATGGATCCTATTTGTATGGCCCAGAGTACAAGTAGTATGGTCTGAAGTCAATCCGTGTCCGTTCTCACCTCGCTTATGAACTGCGCGACCATGAACCCTAGGATCACGGCGTCATTGGCCTCCACGTCGAGATGCGGGATGCCGACGGAACAAGTGTCCCATAGCTCCTGCTTGTTAGCATCCAACTGCCACGCCCCAGACCCGATGTCGAAAAGAACTATTTGAGGGTTCCCATCTACCAGCCAAGTGCCCGTGTGTAACTTTAAGATACCAAAAGAAAAATTCACTGTTTAGACGTATAAACAAACTGCCTACCTAATGTTGGGTGGTTACCGAAGCCTATAGACAAAGAAATTTAAATACCACCACCCCACTAGGGCCTCGACGTACATGTGTCAACTGCTTAGTAATTAAATTATAATTTTTGTGGGTATTCTTTTAGGAGGGAGGGTTTATAGATGGTCTAGAACCCTTTCTAGTTTAGTCCAGAGCTGGTGGGAGAGCACCCGTTGAGAAAATTAGGCGAGAAACTCAGCGAGCTGATCTATGGGCTAGGTTCCACGTGGAACTCTTCGTCGCGTTCAACGAGTAAGGTCACCAAGGTCCCCTATGTCTGCTCCTAGTGTTAGAGCTGCAAGGTGCTAATGACAATGGCAGTCGCTCGTGAGCATGCGTTAAGTATTTCTAGCAAATTATACCTGTGGGATTCGAACCTAGGAAGCATAGATCTGTTTTTGTCGTAAAACATCGGGGAACAACTTAATAATTATTGTCAAAAGTTTATCGCGAATCGTAAGTATACGTACAGATGCCGACACCATACTCTACGCACATTGTTATATTATGTGCTGGAGAAACAAAAAGCCCTCCAAAACTAAAAACTTTAATGTTACACTCTCTATATCCTAATTGTAAAATATGGTTATTAAACTTTTTTTCCTACCTATGCTGATAGCCTTGAGAGGCTATTTCAGTTTCTCCTTGATGTGTAGGTGAGCTCACGGGGCTCAAACAGGGTGTGTTGCTAACACTGGCCCTAGCAAGAGTAGTGCTTCGCAGAATCTACCACCGGATCGGAAACGCGACCCACTGAAGAAATCCGGCGAGAAAGTCAGTGGGCCGTGTTTATGGGTTAATTTACTCGTCGAGCATTTCGTCGCAAGCGACGGGTTCGATGAGGACGGTGACCTGTACTTGAGGTACCTAAAAGCACCATTACACTACTACACATCCGGCGTGTACGTGAACGGTCGATGTTCCGAAGATCTTTTTAAAATCACCGGCCTGTTCTCTGCAAGTTTCCACCGGGCCGTACCACCGAGACGTTCGCTGACTAGGACTTGAGGGCAAAAACAAAACCCTGATAGCGCGTACCTTGTAACCTTTACTCCTCATGGCGTTAACGGCTGTCAACAGGGGGGAGTCGGAGGGGAACTCTCCCTCTTCGACTTCAGTTCGCGCGCATTGCTCCTTATACGGACCTGGTATTAGATATTGTGGTGAAAAACCATACGCTCGAAATCGATGACGTTTTATTTGAAATTATCTAGAATATTATGTTAAGCGATTTCTTGCAGACCTCATGCTGTCATCTGCCTTGAGATATGAGGTCATAGTCTCAGGTGGTCGACGCCCTTCATACCGGAACTTGCTTTTGTCAACGGTCGGGTATATCATTGACAAAAACTGCCTTCTTGTGATCTTCATCTCCTGCTTAGGGGAGTAGAGTCCATCCACAATGCGTTTCCAAAAAAGCTTCTCATATAACATCAGACTCTATATTGAACCTGTATCTCCAGACCGCTATGACAAGTCCATCTTCAAACGAGATTAGAAGTCTGCTCAGGGGCGGAGTACGGCAGCGCCCTGAAATTTCTTGAGTTCCTAAATCGTTGTGACTACTCGCCGTCAGGATCAAGCGGTTCTGCCATCGAAGCCACAAAAAAACTTACCAAGCAAGCAATAGTTGTCTCCCATTTCTTCAGTGGAGACGAATGCTTTCGATCTTATTACCGTATAAATACCGCCAACTGCGAACCAAGAATGTGAGTATTAATTATTGTTTAATTTTAATCAACTGTCGTTGCTCTCGTTGCTAATTATCTTTCTTTATTGTTTTGCTGTTTATTTTGGCTACTCTCTTTATACCACAACAGTGTTTGAAGAAAAATCCTTCAAGGAGTTGGAGATGTTGGATATTCTAAACGTATAATTCGATTCTGCTGATATTACACTTATCTTTTTTTCCGCTACCTATTCACTAATGACTCCATAGAGCGCCTTGTCGTTTAGGGCAAAGTAGAAGACACCAGACCGCGTGGAAGGCTGCCCATGCGATGGACCGACCAAGTCAATTCGGCAGTTGGCGGTTGTTTGGATGAGTGTTCCAGGCTCATCACAAGCCGGGAGGAGTGGCGATTGCTCGTGAGGCACACAACATCTGCCCACAGCAATGATACAGAATGACGATTACGACCGCTCTGACAAGAGTGATACGACAAAGGAAATTCACGAGTAGCCTAGGGGGCTATTCTAGCTACGCCCGGACGGTTAGGTAAGCTCACAGGCGCTGAGAGAATTTGCTAACACTAGCCCTAGCAGCAAGAGCAGTGCTTCGCAGAATCTACCAACGATGCTTCGAATGCTGTCCATCCGCCAAGGTGAATGACGCAACGAGACGAGAAGTGCCCGGGCTGACCAGCGTGTGTCTTGAGACAGCCTTAAGTTCCCCTAACGTGGAAAGTCGATAGAGAACTAATACTAAGCTTTAAAACTCGACAAGTGCAACTTCATTGTGTGTGACGGTAATTTGTGTCTAAAATCGGACATACGAGTATATCGTTCTCTAATAAATAACGATTAGCCACATGTGATATGACATGTTGTGTTCGGATGGAAATAATAAATGTATATAAAATTTATACGTTTGAAATTTAAACCGATTTAACAATTGAATAATCTTTTTTATATCCTGTTGATCCCGGTCATGGTATTAGAGAGAAGTTATAAATTTTTTGTTTCGTAAATCCTTGTTGCGCCCGCAAATTATCAAGTTAATCGGTCACCTTGAAATTGGAGAAAATGTCGCATACCGAGCTGATAAAAGCATTTAAAAATAAAGTCACGAATTACCAGTTTTAATTAACAGAGTTACTAATTTATATTTAGTGATTTTAAAAATAAACCATTAACATTTCGCGATTTCATTTGAAATGCCTTTTAGAGTAGTTGTGTCCGTCTATGACCCGCAAACAGTTCTACGAAGCGTAGCCTGACCATACATATAGGCAGATCAGCTAATACCAGTTTCGAAGATTAACTTAGACATAGGTGCAGATATTAAGTTACGTTCTCCCTGAACTAGGCCGACCGATCGCGTTACCAAAGACAAAACAAAGCGGTTTAGCGACTGCACCGGTTTTACAAGCTCTGCAGTATTCAGATTGCGTTTTGTAGACTAACAATAGTCTAGGATTGCGCATTGTGCCGCTCAAGGATCGTGTCTGAATCAACAAGGAACCGGTTTGTAGAGACGCCGAGTGATTCTCGTGCCCTCGTGAGCAAGATGCCCCAATTTAAGCAAACGATTTGTTTTAATTGCATCGTTTGGTACCAGCTCATGACCCACGCGATTTTAAAAGAAAGGAGACCATAGACATTCTACTCGGAGGTTTATTTTGACGATATGAAGGTCCCGGGTGTCCGACTTCAAGAGCCCTTAAAGTTAAGCCACGGCTTGAATGTACTGTAACCGCTCGTCAGAAGGGTCTGCCTCCGAAGTCAATTAAAAGTTACATAAATTACCTTTGTTGGCGACTTCCCAGGCGCACTCGAAGGTCCATCTGTTCTCGTCGCTGGCGGCGCGGCCGCGGTCCATGAATGACGACAGATCATGAGTGGACTCCGCACGATAGAACCGCCTCGAGCTGCGATCCTTTGACATCCTCGCCTATAAAAGGACACATTTTAAAGAGGCACAACTTAAAGTTACTGTTGCTAATGAGAATAGGTCTTTTCATGTCAGGGATTAACTCCAATTACATCAGACTTCATTGTCTGGAACAGTACACAGTGTATGGACAGATGCGCGGAGCAAGTCGTCAACTAGAGACCTGGGGTCAACGTGTCTAAAACATCGTTTGTAAAATGCTGATTCTCGTTTCCAGGTTATTTATTGTCACGGTTACTGTCGACCGCGGAGGACCCGCTATTTTGTAAAATGCTTTGCTAACTGATACCTACTCGTTTCCAGATTACTTACACATCCCGTGTTGATCGCCTGACCGCGGGATCAGACATCGGGTGAGAGAGCGCAAGGGGAGTCGCATGGGAGAGCATGAACCATAAGAATAGTTTTACCCTACATGCTGGCCCCGTCTCACACCACGCACTACTTAATTCCAATCAAATGGCAACCCTGTATAGTGGATTCAGTTAAATCTATATTTTTGTTATGGGTGACCCGTCTTTCCGTATTTCCCGTATTTCCATGTGTATTACACGCGTATCAGCTTTGCGGCAGAACTAAGCGCAAAAGCTTATGCCAGTGCAAGTTCGCAAACGACCCTAGTTTCTTCATTTAGGTCGATATTAGTTCTTCGCTTTGGTTTGAATTGAATAATCATCATAAGGACAAAAGTACACCGCTGGACAAAGCCCTCTTCGTGAATTTCTTATCAAGCATCCTTCGCAAATCACCGGCCCAATCTCTCATTAGGAGGCATTCATCTAAATAGAATAAGAATAGAAGTATTATGTTGTGTGCAAAAATAAGCATTTTAATTTATTCTTATAAGATTTAAGATGGTAATTAACTGAAGTGTACTTTTAGCTATAGCAAGGATAGGACAGAAAATCGTAGATGCCTGAACCTTCCTAACGCATATTCAAGATAGGTTTGCATATATCAAAGTTCCGGACAACATTCGGACTGCCAGTCCCCCGAGGAAATCTAACCGTTCGGCCGGAAGATCTTCCCTTTATTGTTCTGTCCTTAAACTTCACAAATAAATTTAGAAGCTTTTCGTTCTTTACATATGACTTAATGCCTCTGACGTAATGAACTTGTACATCATTTCTATCTACGTATGAATTACGTTGGACCAATGCCAATTATTTTTGGTTTTTGCGTCAAACTTCGTAACACACCTATCGGACAAGTCGTAATGTTTGTTATGTAAATATTATGCAAATCGACTATGCGAATTCAATGTCATCGATTTTAACTAGTTTCGGTTTACTGCGACGAACTATATTTTTTTATGGACTCGAAATAGACACGGAATCATCATCATCACAGCCTATGGCAGTCCACTATTGGATACGGGCCTCTACAAATGCACAACACTCACGAATGATCAAAGCGATCAAAAAGAACAAACAACACCCTCAAAGTGAGACACGATTCTAGTTGAATTATAAAGATTATTCAATGTTTAGCTAATCGTAGTGTATTAATAGGTCATCACACTTTGACCACAAATGACGTCAAAAGTCTCTAGCCGACTCCGTGAAACTTGGGCGCTCATTCTGGAGGGTATGAACCACCTGTTTTTATTTTTTATTGCGGACATAAGGCAATAATTGCGGGAGTTTTTTTTCCTATCTAGGATGATAGCCTTGAGAGGCTATTTCAGCTCCACCCTAACATGTAGGTGAGCTCACGGGGCTCAAGCCGGAGTGCTGCTAACATTGGCCCTTGCAAGAGCAGTGTTTCGCAGAATCTACCACCGGATCGGAAACGCGACCCACTGAGAAGATCCGGCGAGAAACTCAGTGGGCTGTGTCTATGGGCTAATTCGCTTTAAGGCTTTAAGGCACCCTTGGAAAGAAATAGGGGTTGCTATTCTAGACCACAGCAAAAACTTGACATGCTCTTACATAATATCGTAAATACCAAAAAATATCAAGCATATCTATATTATATAACTTTAATCGTAAATACCTGTTATCAAAAACCTATTTATCTTCATTCAAAACTATGTACTTTGAGACATGTTTGTACATAGGCCATATGTGCAATCTTTTTTTTAAAATGCCGTAGGTTGGAGCTCCTATCTACAGACTTCGAGGCCAATATTAACCACCGGGAAGCAATTACCGAAGATCAGCACAACCTGAATGCCTATAACCGTATATAACCTATCTCGAAGAAATGGAAGTCTCTGTGGCGGGTAGCCATCTTAGAACACAAGATTTTTGCCTGAATCTAGCTTACGACATTTTAAGATAGGCTTGCATATATACAAGTTCCGACAACCTTCGGACCGTCGGTCTACCTAGCAATATCACTCGCTAGCTGGAAGATTTGCTATTAGCTTGGAGAGTTTGTCGTTAAACCTCCCAAGCCCGATTCAAACCCTTAACTCTATAATACTGTTATCGAATTAAAAGTGCTTTTAAGCTCTCCAAGCACCGCTCACCATCCTTGTCGAGCTCTTTGAATGCGAAAATTTCGAAGTGCCACTTAATCTACAGACTACGATGGTAGATTCAGCGAAGCACTGCTCTTGCTAGCCTTAGTGTTGGAAAATTCTCCTCAGATTGAGCCCACCTACCAAACCGGGCGTAGTCGGAATAGCCCCTTAGGCTACTAAAGATTAGGCAGGGAATCAAAAAAATCGCTTCCGAGATTTAATCTGCGTGTCACTCACTACAACCAGCGCTTTACTACGATTTCCCCCTCCCCTCGCCATCTTATCACAAGTTCAAGTTTATTAACAGCTAATAAGATAGTAAACATATGTTATCATAAGCCACTCGAAAATTCGTATTGTATTTTAAAAGATACGAATTGTTTAAAAATACTATACTATAATATTATTTGAGAATCGATACTGCTCGACTATTGAGGGCGTTTACTCGTAGTGGCGTCCACAGCTCTGATAACCTAAGTCGCGATTATGATAATTTCAAGAAGGAATCGTTATTACATTTGCAAAAATTGCCTGATGATAAGCAGTTCGCCAGGGCCGAAACGAGTTTTTGTTTATTCCATAAGATGAAGCCATGCCACTTGCTATTAAGTGGTTACCGTAGTAGCACACTGAATCGTGAAATCATGTCTACAGAACGCATGGCTGCTTAATGACAGTAATGGGCAGGACAATAATAGTTTTACTGCTATTTTCCTGCGAGTAGTCACAAAGCTCTATCAGGCCTAAAGAATAACGAACTCAGTTTCAAAAGACAAAACTATGCCAAGATTATGCCGAAATACGTACACAGTAACAGTTGATGAACGACTTCCGTTCTCTGTCCTGCCTGTTTCATTCGCAAAACAAACATAGATACCAGTTTGAGCGGTACAAGTTTTTATATTAACACATTTGAGATTTCAACCTCATGTCTCTCTGTAGGGGACATATAATGTGATTTTAGGGGATCCAGGAAAGAACACCAGATGAGTTGTGATCTCGTCCACAGACTCGTAAAAAATGTTTAAACATATCTTCTTTCTTTCCTATTACCCTCTGCTGGTGTATAAGGCTCGAATTGAATCCTTTCATTTACATTGGTCTTGGGCAGTCTTTTTTAAGTACAAAATTATTAAAATTAAATATAAGTATATGTACTAATAAAATATGTGCATTAATATGGATATGTACCATTAATACAGCATATACTATAATTTAATATGGAATATATTGCTGATTGATTATATTGTCAGGATTTGAGTCTCCATCATCTAAGACACCATGAAGCTTTTCACCAGTGCCAGACTACAACTATTTTTATTTACACAAGTATGTACTTAGCGTGTGTTCTTAGAACTTTCTCAGTGTGTGTGAGTGTGTGTTCGTAGAACTGCCACAACCTAGTAAGACCATGCCAAATGCGGCAAAATAATAAAGATATTTTCTTGTGCTAAGGCAAATTATGGGTCCAAATGGCTAAGTGCCACCATCAGTCTCTATCTGCGATGAAGCAGGCCAGAGCAGCCATTGTTAAATTATAATAATTATGATTATGACCTTCATATCACCTTGAGATGACATGGAATTTTGAATGCCACTAAAACTAACTTAAATGTATTTCCATAACTCTGAAAGCAACATTGCACTACTTCTACGGAGGACTAGAAACAGTATTAATTCTTCTTCTGATTAATTTTACATAATTATTACCAAGAAGAAACTACATTAAAATTGTTATGGGTTTTTCTCAATTAAATTCCCTTCTAAGTTATATTTTATAGTCAATGCATCACATATGAAGGAAAATAAACAAATAAATTGATTACTACTATGAGATATAAGTCCTGGGTTTCAAAAACTTCCAAACAGACAAACAAAACACTCCATTACCTACAGCTTTATAGATTTGAAATTTAGACGATATATTTCTTCAGTCATCCCAAATCCTTGGAGTGAACTGAATTAGTATATTTCAAATTCTTATGATGGTGGTCTAAAATAAAATTATAAATGTTAATGTATATTTTTTTAAATTACAGAATCAAATTAATTTTATGAAAAATTTTTATTTGTACCACCGAAGTTTCTCAATGAAGAATAAAGAACTGTTAAAACACTTAAATCTTTAATTATTTAACTTTATTAATGTATCATATTCTTTACATAATTTATTTATCTATTAAGTTTATTCAGCTATTAAGATCGAGAGTAAGGCTTTTCTGACTAAAAATATTTTTTGTTCTAATATTAATTTATATCAATAATAATATTTCAATTCAGCACGTGTTTTCTGATAACATATGAATTCAAAAGTAGTCATAAAGATTGCAATTGTGTCTATGTCCACAATGAATTAAAAATGTATTTGAATCAATTCTGTGCACTATTTAATCGGAATTTTATATTACATATCATATGTATTAAGAATGTTATTTTTTAATTAATAATATTAGCAAAGATCACTACGCGGACGTTGATAGGTACTCCGCGGTCGACCTCCTTGATCGTAATTATCACAAAAAAACGTTCACAATCGCGATAACGGTCACATTATTAAATAACTATTTTTATCTTCGACGTCTAAATGAAATTACGTAGCTTTAGCACGCGTAGAAAGCAATAAATAACTTCGCTTACCGAATTATTGAATGAGAAAAGTTTTTAATGCGCCTCTACCGGGTTTGACGAACACAAATTTATCACAGAAAAGTTCACAAACAAGTCTTTCAAAGCAGGTTTTAATTACTGGATTATAATTTCGTTTTTATTTGTGACAACGAAAAAGCATAATACATGCCAACGCGGGTAGAATTTTCAAATGAATTTAATCAGGAGTGTGACAGCTCAAGTTTTCAATTTTATAATTCGCTGAACTTCAGAGTGTATTCAAAACAANCAGCACTAAAACCGCCATGTTTTGTGGCCAGATGACGTCACAGTGGCACGAATTTTTTGTTGACGTTTCATTTCCATAGGTTTCCTACTTCAGTGGAAAATGTAGATTCAAAATATGTACATGCATATTTAATATACCTACTTAGCATTTAACGAAATTTCATAAAAAGTCATAGTATGATGTCATTAAATAATAGTGTTTTTAATGTAGATAACCGAAAAATTTATAAAACAAATCCTTCAGTATTCGCAAAGCAAAATTCCAAATAAAATATTATGTACTCAGTGCTAGGTTATAAAATAAAACTATTGATGAAAAACGAATTTTAAACTGCCAACTAGCAATAAATTAGCAACTGTGGCCACTTCTTATCAGGTTGACCGTTCGCTTGTCTTTGTTTTATTACCCTGGTAGGCAGACGAGCACACAGCCCACCTGATGGTGAACTTCAGCATTGCCAGGGGCAGAGCCAAGCCGCTGTATCGCATTCCGATCAGGCAATCGGGTTCTCGCCTCTGGGAGTATTCCGGAACACCAGCGACACCGTCTGGATGCTCTGGCAAGCCACCGAACCTAGTGACCCACCTACAGACGTCGTTCGCAGACTACTCCGCGATCCACGCGTCTAGTTGCCGTTCTGACTGCGGTCTCCTTTGCTACGATCTCCGGTGTCTGTCTTAGCTATCTACATACCCCAACCCCGGCTCTATTAGAACAAGAATCCGTGAATCCCAGACCTTCGTTATTTTATAAAAACTGAAAGTTTGTTAGCGCATCCTCCCAACACAGGTAATAACGATGGATCATGGATGGATCATTAAAAAACTTCATAATGATCATTCATTCTTATCTGTGTTGGGAGCATGCGCTGACAAAGTTTCAACTTTTATAAAATAACGAAGGTCTGGGGTTCACCACGGGTTCTCAGGCCATATAGCATACATCCACCACTCTCGCCATCTAAGTCTTTCGACCATAATCGCTTTTTCCACTTCCTTATTCCAATTGAATGATGATTGCTATTGTTACACCGGTAAGAGTAACGCCATCTATCGCCGAATAGTCGAACGAATACCGAAGGATCCCGTAGCACCTAGAACGCTCGAGGAGCACAACGCCTTCTATTGTCATGATGGATAGATGTGATATCGGCTATAAAAGCGTTGCAGAGATAGCATGAAGTCAGTTAGTAATCGGAACTACTCGAAGCGAAACAGCGAACGAATTACCTCAAGCGAAGCGGAAGAAGCGAATTGAGAATTTTAAAGTGTTAGTGAAGGGTTTTAAGTGTTCTAAGTGCTAATACAGTTTTAAGTTGTACTTCGGTAGATTTTTTTATTTATCCCGAACCCCAGCGCGTAACACCATTTTACTGCGGACGCGAACGGGTTACCGATGCTCATAACACGGGCACACGTAATAAAACGAAACTTAACAGTAAAAAATGTATGTATTATTATGTACATTATATTATTTACAGTTTTTCTTTTTAATATCACAATATAAGTTCACAAAGGCACTGCCGACGTCACTCACATACAGGGTGTTCGGAAAACATTTATTTGTTAGACTAAGAAGTTGATAATACAACAGCTATAGCTAGTTTTTTTTTTCATAGAGTTCCCTTGCTATCAACACTTCTTTTCCAAGACCGGTATGCCCCCCCTAATCAGAATCCAAACGGAAATACTGTGGAGTGCCCCCGTTGTTTTGTCGGACCAGAGGCATGGCTGGAGAGGTTGCGACAAAAGGGGTGGACACTGACTGCCATCCTCATAATTCTTCTCGCCGCCAGTGCGACACCACAGCCTCCCTGCTTGGTCAAGGGGACAATCAAGTAATGGTTCTTGGGGATTCCTTCCTAGCAGTACTTGGTGGAGCGAAACCTTACTCCTGACCAGTACACCCAACAGTTCCTCAACGGATATACATTGATTCAGACATAAATGTTCCAGAACCAACGATGGAGTTTCACCATTGTGACTGCGACGAGGACACGGTCGAGCATACGCTGGCACATTGCCCCGCGTGGTCGGGGCGGCGCAGTGTCCCCGTATCGCAAATACGACCGGACTTGTCGCTGCCAAGCATCGTAGCCACGAGCCACGAGTCCCTCTCCGCACCTATCCGTCGCCGCCGAGCCAGGGACTTTTGACAGACTCCGACCCCTGTAGGAGGCGACCTCCCCCCGGTGAGGTTACGGGACGACCTGAGAGGAGCAAACCACTCGGCGCGCTACCTGCGCTGTAGCGTGCTGCATTATAGCAGTCCATAGAAGAGAAACAGATTGGCGGTGTATCGCGTTCCGAAGGGGGAAGGTTGGTTCTTTTTTAAAGTCATTACACCAAGTTTTAACTTCAAATAAAATACCCTTAAACTATTCTAGACTCAACGGTAAGCTGGGATCGAGCTCTTCTGCAAACGGATNGCAAACCACTCGGCGCGCTACCTGCGCTGTAGCGTGCTGCATTATAGCAGTCCATAGAAGAGAAACAGATTGGCGGTGTATCGCGTTCCGAAGGGGGAAGGTTGGTTCTTTTTTAAAGTCATTACACCAAGTTTTAACTTCAAATAAAATACCCTTAAACTATTCTAGACTCAACGGTAAGCTGGGATCGAGCTCTTCTGCAAACGGATTACCCTCTTCCGTGCTTACATCAAAATTCAGTTTAACAGGAACAACAGTTTTGTCATTAGCCTTGCTGACTGATGAAGTATCACTAAAACTACTACAATCAATATTTTTTTTCGATCCGGCTACATTGACCGGACTTCTGTACGCCGCCATTGCGTTTGTAGTTTTGTTCACTATCGTTATAGGGTTCAGGGGTGGAGGTTCGCCGTATCTTTTTAATTTTTCAATTTTCGCTTTGATCTGCTGCCTACGCAACAACGTTTTGGGCGATGGCGACTCACGGTCCGACTCATTTGTTAAATTTTTGAAGTCATTTTTATTTACTGTTAATGGTGTCGAAACAGACGTTGTCTTTGTTAAATTTACATCACTAGTCTTGTATGGAGTAACATTTTCATTGCGAGTACTTTTCCTTTTTTTATTCTCTATAACGTCTACGCAATCCTCGCAAAAACGTTGAATGTTGCAAGATTTAAATTTTTCATTCAATTCTACCACTAACTTTTTGAGGTCCGCTATCTTGGGAGATTTCGTGAAATAACTGATCTCCGTGGCCCTGTACTGGGGGATGCTTCGGGCGGTGCTGCCCGCGCGCCTCTGCACGTTGACGCAGGCCACGACCTGTCCCGTGTCCAGGAGGTTATCGTAGCCGAACTTTTCGAGGCCGCCCCAGAAGTTGATACTGACAATGTTCCTTTCGAAATCCGACAAGTAAACGTTTTGGAAGTGCACCGTGTTGTTGAGAACCGTTGTCTTAGGTTCGACTCGCACTATGAGCCCGGCCGTGTCCACCTCGCCGTACGGGGTCTGCGCGGCCGGGCTCCGCACCAGCTCGTCCAGGGCGCACGCCCTCCTCCGGAACTGAGCCGCGGTGGACTCCTTCAGACGACACGCCGTGAACGCAGACTGCCTGCCGGCCGAGAGCTGGATTTCGGAATATCTGAAACACGCGTTTAGAGTATCTACATATTATATACGTGAAGCAAAAACTTTGCACCCCTTTATACGAAAATTGCGCGGACGGAGGAGTATGAAATTTCCAATACTTATACTTATAGAGAATGTAGAGGAGTGCAGGATGTAAATATTTTTTCAAATTATGCATAAATACATTAAATCAATAAATAAAAACATTACACACACTACATGTACATGTATTTGACACACACACGCATGCATACTATTTGTATATTGTCAAACTTTTCTTATTGATTATAGTCTGTGGTAAAATTGAGAATAGATTAAATATTGTGGGTCTTTAATAATTTTTATCTAAAGTGTAGTCTTAGCAAAATCTGTGATTATAGAAGTACAATAGTATTTGACAATAGAATCAATAATGTTCAAACTTATAATTTCAATTAATTATAGTCGAATTTCGACTACCAGTTTTTATAAATGTCAGTGTTTTATAAATGGTACAGCGGTACCTAGTTACAAGGAATCGAAACTTCGACCTCACGCCTCAAGGAAATAGACTTCAGCGTCGAAAATCACAATAAAGCCAGTGAAAATTTCACTATCAAAACTGTCAAAATTAGTTAAGTCACCTGACAGCTGTTGGCGTGACGTTCGTCACTTCTATCGAGTTCCCCTCCTGCAGCAGCTCCAGGACCTCCTCCGTGGGGTTCCACACCGACAGCGTGCCTGCGGGATACAAAGGCGGTTGAAGAGTAACACGAGATGGCGTTTGTCTCACGCCAAAGAGCTAGTGAGAGGTTTTTTTTAGACCTTAGAACTTATATCTCAAGGTGGGTGGCGCATTTACGTCGTAGATGTCTATGGGATCCAGTAACCACTTAACACCAGGTGGGCTATGAGCTCGTACACCCATCTAAGCAATAAAAAAAGGAACGCATCGTACGTAATAATTGAAACCTCCAGAACCGTTTGAATCTCTATTTTATTGGTATTACCCTAAGAAAAACCACTGAAAATTTGTCTTTGATTTGGAAAGGGTCCCGATTCCCCCCATTCTACGGCAGCCAGCATGACAGCAGTACAAAAAGATTCTTGTTCGTACCTCTGGTAGCGCAGTCCGGTCCTGGATCGAGGACCCTGACCCGCAGTACGACTGCCACATTCCTCCGCGCCAAGGTGCCCTCCGCCCTCGCACGGAACTCGCTCTGCAACCTGGCGACGACTGCATCCCGACGCGAATCCAGGTGTTGCTGCAGAATGTGGTTTTGAGACGCCGTGAGGTCGCTCTGTAATTAGACGGGACACGAAGGATCTTCCATAAAAAAAATCTAAGGTTATGTTACCAGTACTCAGCACAATTTTCACTTTGAGACATGAAGCGTCCTCACCGCGCCCTCTCGGCACCACCACGGTACTTACACGGAACTCGCCGGGGTCTGTACTTCTCTTCATTTGTCGATACAGCTGGGAGCCGCTATCTGAATCTCTCCTGCAGGACATCTCCTGAGAATCCACATCTTGCGACTCCTGGGCAATATATGAATACAAATTAATTCCAAATGAACGACGATTCTGCCAACCAATCTTCTTCTTAGACTGAATGGACTATTACCACACTACTACACTATATCAGACTACGCTATGCTATAGTGCCATATAGTATAGCAGCGTATACTTAGTCAATAATATATAGTACAGTACAGTGTGAACGTGTCCATAACAATGTATGGTTTTTTTATTTATTGCTTAGATGGATGGACGAGCTCACAGCCCACCTGGTGTTAAGTGGTTACTGGAGCCCATAGACATCTACAATGTAAATGCGCCACCCACCTTGAGATATAAGTTCTAGGGTCTAAAGTTTGGTTACAGCGGCTGCCCCACCCTTCAAACCGAAATGCATTACTGCTTCACGGCAGAAATTGGCAGAGCGGTGGTATCTACCAGTGCGGACTCACAAGAGGTTCTACTACCAGTAACATTGTGTGCGATAACAGGTGTGCGATATTGTTGTGCTATGACCTATATACTATATGCTATTATATTATAGCGTAGTCTGAAAGCGGCTTAAGCAGTTACCGGATCCGTCGCAGCGTGATTGCCGCCGTCCGTCTCGATGCATGAGATCGAAATATCATTAGTATGACCGACTACCCACCTGCTCGCAGCACGCGCGCTCCACGTCTCGCTGCAGCTCCTCGGCCAGCGCCTGGCGCGCCGCCTCGAGCCGCGTCTGCTGCAGCTGCTCCAGGCGTTCCGAGCGGGTCACTGGGTTCAGGCGAGGAGTCGATATTTAGAACTGACGAGTTTGCGTGCATGACTGCGTGACTGCGTGCGTGCGTGTGTGTGGGTGCGTATCTGTATGCGTACGTGTGTTCGTGCATGTGTGCGTGTGTGCGTGCGTGTACGTTGCGTGTACGTGCGTGCGTGCGTCGTGCGTATGTACGTTCACACCTGAATATTGTTATACCATTGTTATAACTACCGTTTAATTGACTTTAAAACATATTATTTGACATATGACAATAATTATTATTATAGTTACTCGCATGCTTATTCAGATTGTGATTTCAACGCGTATCAAAAGAATTATGTGAACAATAAAAAAATAAAAAATAAATGTCGGTCGAACGCGGTCACCCACGTTCAGACACGGTGTCGAGGTCAGAATTGTTTGGTACAGTAGCTGCTCCACCCTCCGAACTGGAACAGAACCAGGCAGGATGGTGGCGCCGACCCGTGACAACTAACGCTCGTAGCTGTCGTGACTTCAGAAACATCTCTTTTTTTTCCTATCTATTTTAGTAACCTCGAGGGGTTATTCTAGATTCACCGAACTGGTAGGTGAGCTCACGGGGCTAAAACCGGGAGTATTGCTAATATTGGCCCTAGCAAGAGCCGTGCTTCGCAGAATCTACCACCGGATCGGAAACGCGCCCCACTAAGAAGATCCGGCGAGAAACTCAGTAAGCTGTGTCTGTGGGTTAGGTACCTAAAAGCACCGTAAATGGATTGGAAAGATCCGTAATGACGTGTTTAGGGCGACGTCGAATGTTTACCATTCGGTCCGCAAGATCGGGAATGTAGTTACCCACGGCCACGATGAGAGTTCTTTTGTCGTACCGCTTTCTCGAAATGGCGCACTGATGCCGACTGTAGATACTTACTTATGGAAAACATCTCTTAATGAGGCAGAACCGACCTGCTACTTGTACCCTGAACGCACGCCGGACTAGTCACGTACCGGTGGTGCCGTCTCCCAGTTTCTCGACGTACAGCGGCGGGTAGACCCTGGCCACGTGGACCCGGAGGCGCGCCACCCGCCCGCCCTGCGCGTCCACCTGCCGCAGAGCGCGGGACGGGCGAACGCGGTGATGCCCCAGCCGCGCGTACCAGGGACAGCGACTGGTCGAGTTCCCGGACAGCTTTAGACGTACTGAAGATACGTCCTGGGTTGAAATAGATTTCAGTAGTACAGTGTTAAGGGCAATCATTATTAATGGAGGTGTGTGTACACACCATCCCAAACGCGCACTTCTCAGCTTCTCTGTCACAGGTGCCACTTTCAGACTTCCTCTAACATATTCATTCCGTATTCTATCCATTATATATTATATTGTTATAGATATCGCCATGTTAACACTATTTATTATATTAGTTTAATTCCTGTTGGTAACTGCAAGCCGCTAGAGATGGTACCAGCACTTTGTTATTTGTGCTTCGGAAAACCTTGCGTTCAGCTTGAAAAGTGGGGCAGACCATGTGTGTCATAACTCGCCATGCTAGCTGCCATGGCATTGCACCCCAAAATTTTTTTTTTTTTTATTGCATAGATCGGTGGACGAGCTCACAGCCCACCTGGCGTTAAGTAGTTACCGGAGTCCATAGACACCTACAACATAAATGCCGCCACCCAACTTGATATATGAGTTCTAAGGTCTCAGTATAGTTACAACGGCTGCCCCGCCCTTCAAATCGAAACTCATTACTGTTTCACGGTAGAAATAGGCAGGGTGGTGGTACCTACCCTTACGGACTCACAAGAGACCCTACGACCAGTAAATCTGAATCGCGCTAACGACAGTTGCAAGATAATTTCACTATTACAATTTAACATCCTCAGACCTGTTCGGCTGCGTGGAAACTCACCTCCCAAGGCGACACCCCCTCGCAGTTCAACAGCTCAGCCCCACAGGTCATCACTTTGGTTCCGACCACGATTTTACCGCTCCGCACCATCCGGGCCAGGAGCCCGTCAGTGGTGGCCTTCACCGAATACCAACCGTCACTCACTAACAGTTCTATGTTGTTCGTTTTTGGGACACTGAAATTAATTAAATTAATTTAGTTCAGGCCAATGTGATCGGTCTGGATGAAACTCACTTCGAAGTAAGAACCTGTGGCGGCAGGCATCACGGAACACATGATATTTGACAGATGCCTGAATCTCGCTGACGATATCTTCAAGATAAGCTTGCATATATACAAGTTCTAAACAACAACATTAGGACCGTAGGTCTACCGTGCAATATCACCCGCTCGGTGGAAGATCTTCCCTTTGCCGTATACCTACAGACCCTAATGGGACACGTTGTCGCACGTGTACGATGAAGAAGTAGCAACTGGCACACGTGTGACCGGGCCACATATCAATCACTAAAAGATAAACTCCATTTAGGCTAGATTCGGCCTATCTAGTACGTCGGAATGGTCATAGATCGTGTAGACGCAGCGGTGTTTGGAGATGTGAACCTCTGCACTTTCAATGAACTCAAATACATTATATATCCGACAAACTTTACAGAACTGGGCACATAATGATAGATCCTCTAATTAATTCTCAGATAGACCATCAGACCACAAGGTTTGAAAAAAAAAAACACATTTTGTTCCCGCATACCCGGTCTGTCTGCTCTAGGAGGATCCACAAGAAGCGCTTACATCTAAAAACCTTTACCTTTTCACTTCAACTCCGTCAACAAAAATCCCGGCGACACACAGTACCAAAGTCTTAGAAGGGACATCGTCTTTCTCCAAGATCTTCCTCAAGGCCGGCCTTTCAGCGTTATACAACTCTTTGTCGTATCTATATTTCAATTGGTCTATGACATTGCCGACAGTACAGACATTCGCCATGACGTTAGGAAATTTAATTTCGTACGACAACAGTTTCCACAATATCAATTTTATGTGATTTTCCAACCAGCCCTTTGGTATCAGTTTCGCATTAACCGAACTCAAAAACATTCTCTGGACGTGTTCCACATTCACTACAGTTTCCGTAACATCATTTCTATGTTTTTCAAAAATGAAATCCATTAGATTATCCATGTCGTAATCAATTGCAACAGATTTCTCTTCATATCTCTTTTCTAAATCACACAAATCTTTCAGTTTGTATGTTTTCGTTTTTTTATAATCTTTTTTGAAATTTAAAAGTGGTTTTTTTTGTTCGATAATTTCTGTAGTTTGTGTATGTTTAAGATTCTTGTGTGGAGCTTCGAATTTGAGTCGTTTAGCTTTGGGACATAACAAAATAGGACTTGTAGATCTTGTTGATCTTGTTGCTGATATTGTAAAATCTTCCGTGTACAGTGTTTCGTTGAAACCTTCTTGTACAGCAAACAACAAATCGTCTGGGTATACTGAAGAATTTCTTAGGACATCTCTGTCAATATTCTTTACGTTTTCTTTGATTTGCTCACTATAATTGGCCTTAGTGACTGATTTACAACGATTTATAGTACTTCCCTCGGCCATGATGTTAGCATTTCGTGGGTTTTTCACTAATATTTTCGCTTTGTCCAAAGATGCGTTCGCAACATTGACCTTGTCGTTTTTAGGCGACCTTTTAAAATCCGGCTCGGGTGTTACGTTTCCAGTATTGAGATTATCATCAGAGCTAGCATTGAAAATCTTCTCGAAAATCTTTTTCGTCCTGGATAAGGCTCGTTCTGATATTTTTACAACATTATTGTTTGCTGTTTTAAAACCTTCGAAATTCTTCGAAAGCCTATTTTCATGGATTTTTTTCACCGGATCTAAATTGTTTTGGCGTTCGTTCTCATTATTTATATCTTTGAATATATTTTTCGTTTTCACTAATGATTCTTCGGATACTTTCACGACTCTATTATTAGCCGTTTTAAATCCTTTGAAAACATCCAAGCTTGTATTCTCTTCGCGTTCATTCGTTAAATCTTGTATATCTTTGAATATTTCCTTACTTTTAATTAGTGAGTGACTGCTAATTGTAATATTTCTGTCGTTAGCCGTTTTGAAGCCAACAAACCGAGTATTGCTCAACGGCTGATTCCCAGTGGAAATACCAACAGTATTATTAGTCATACATTTTTGAGGCTCAGCAGAATCTGTATTTAACTGATCGTTTTTAAAAAATATATTTGATGTTTCAATGTTTTTAGTTTTGTTTTTTATAAATTCTGTATTAGTTGTAATGCTATCACCAATATCAATGTCTTTGAACACATCATTAGTTTTACGTAATGCTTCTTTTGAAATTTCTATTATCCTGTTATTAGCAGTTTTAAAGCCAACAAAATCACTGCCTAAAGAATTTATTATGTTAGATTGGTGATTTGTCATTGTTTTATTTTTAACATTTTTTCCATTGACACAGTCTTGTACATGACAATTTTCTTTTTCGTTATACTTCGATCCAATATCATTAATTTCGATTGTCATATCTACGTTCTCGAATTCTTTGATAATATTTTCGTCATTCAAATCAGATTCCAAGTCTTCCATAAAACTCTGTTTCGATTTATTGCAATCCAAATTCAACTCTGTTGCTTTAATTTGATAATTCGATTTATCAATGACTATATCGTCGGCATTATCATTGAAATCACTTTCGTTATTATGAAACACATTGCTCAATTTATCCTTTCCATTATTCGAATTTTCATCAAATTCTTCATTCAGATCTATATCTTTGAATACTTTTTTGCATCTCAGTAAAGCACTATTAGATAGTTTAATTTTTTTGTTACTAGCCGTTATAAAGCCGTCGTACTTTCGTTTCTTAGGTTTCAGCACATAATCGCTGTCAGCTTTACCGGAAACCTTAAGTGAATCATCATTATTTATGGCCATATCAATATCTAGAATGCCAACATTTTCGGAATTCCTATTTAATTCATCCTCATCTTTATTCGTGTTCGTCGTACCATCACGGGCCTCAACAATTTCATTGAAATTCAATTTGTCTGTGTCTTCAAAGCTTAATATAGATTTAGCTTTACAAAAAGACTCCTCGGAGACTTGTATGGGATTATTACTGGCTGTTTGGAATCCAACATACATACTTTTGTTTATAACATCATTTTTGTCATAGGTAGATGTTTTAAAAGGGCATGTTAAAGGTAAATCTTGAATCATTCTATCACTTTCTTCATCGCTACTAAATAATATTTCATCTTGTATGTAACTATTTGTTTTTTGCCTTAGATCATTTAATGCTTTCGTCGGCATAACAATTTTGTCTTCGATATTTAATATCGGACTTTTTTTATCCAAACACACGTACATATGATTGTCTTCAATTTCTATATTCAATTCTCCATCAGATAATTGAGAGTTAATCAGATGTTTGACTCTGGTTAGATCTTTGTTTTCTTCGACAATGGGAAAGGCTATTCTCTCAAACCTTTCAAACTTCTCCAGGTCAAACACTAATGGCAGTATTTTATTGTTTTTAAAATTTAGCACTGGACTCGGTGATCGACTTTCTTCTGCCACTAATGTTTCGGAAACTTCAACTTTGTCCATTTCAAATATTTGACTTTTGAATATGTTATCGTTTACTTCAACAGTGTCTGTCTCATCATTCACACCAATTGATTCAGCGCTCTCCTCTAAATCATTTAGGAGTGAACTCTTATCATTATTTTCTTCCTTACTTAGCGCTCCTCTGTGATTGTCTGCTGTTTTAGTGGTGTTACCGTCACCTATCTCAGCAATTACGTGATGAAGAGTTATATTTTCTGGTGTTGAAACTTTCGTATCTAGATGCTCCGCATTCTGCACTAAGGCAATCAGTTGAGAATCAGACACAGACTGTGTTTCAAATCGGTAAATATTTTCTTCTTGTAATTCCTGAAATCATGAAACCTTTTTCAGTGTTTTAATAATGTGTTAATTTTCTTTTATTATTAATTTTATAAACAGTGAACATTCTCATGACCCTCCAGATATTAAGTCATTACCAGAGTGTGCGGCATTACTGCATAATTTTTTTACAAGATGTCAAAGCCTCGATTACTAAGAAAAGATCTATGTAATTCTATTGGTTGTAGGGTGTCTTGTGAGCCCACATGAGCAGGTTTCACCACCCTGTCTATTACTGTTGGAAGGCATACTTAACAAATGTTTACGATTGGCTTCCACAGTGAATAAATAACATTGTGTAAAAACCAAACCTGCAAAATTATAATTTCTGTAATTACGTGGTAGGAGGTCTTGTGAGTCTACTTAGGTAGGTAATACTACCCTGCCGATTTCTACTGTGAAGCAGTAATGCGTTTCGGTTTAAAGGGTGCAGCAGCCATTGTACTGTACCTACCTTGTGAATAACATCTCGAAGTGGGTGGCAGCATTAACATTTTAGATGTATACAGGCTCCAGTAACTACTTTACACCAGGTGAGCTAAGCTTGTGCACCTATCTAAGCAATGAAAAAAAATCAAACAAAATATTCACAGTAGAACTCATTCTGATGTTGATGTACAAACTTACTACTTACAGAACTATACACAGGGCATATACCACCTTATGGATATTTGGATCTAAAATGGCAAAATTATCTGGTAAATTTAGTTAACTATTACTTTACTTAACTTTTAACCTTTTAACTTTTACTTGTAAAATTAAGAAAAAATATGGAAAAATAGCAGGGCTCAAACAATTTGGAGAAATTAATTGAATAAAGTGTAATGCTGCTCAGGACAAATAACAGATATGTTGGCAGCAGAAGGCAAGGGCTGGGCATTATTTACGTAAAGAATAGCTCGTTTTCTTATCACTGTAGGACTTTCTGACCTTGCAATATATACTGACCTTGGGATAATCTGGTAACTCAGCCACAGGGATAAACTCCTTTTTCGTAAAGTAATTATTAGTTGTATTATCAACTTTGGTCAAATTATTCGTATCAGCTTTCTGAATGGCTCTCATCTGTGATTGTACAATCTTTATAACGTCCCTTGGTTTGCTGGCCTGTTCTCTATCGCGAAAATCGTGTCCGTATAATACTGGTGTTCTATTACGTTTGTTTCGTAAAATTAATTCAAAATCTTCAATTTCCTTTACCGTTTTTTCCATTTCGATTTTTTAAGCACTGTTCGCTTAAATTACACTATGATTATTGATATTCTGTAACAAAATTGTCCTCGCATTTTGTGTTTACTTACAAATAAAATGAAATTATTGAAATAAAAGATGTTTTGAAAATAGTTTGAGCGAAAAATCCAACACATGTCAAAAGTTTTGACTTACTTATGTTAGATTTTTCAGTTTATGTGTGGCCATTGTCACTCGATCCTTTAGCCTATTTATTTTTGTTTTTTACACAACACACGTCATAAAACAAAGTCTCAAAATTTTGAGACATAAATGTGCACCTATTCCCCTATTTATTCTAAAGATAAGCTACCGGTAAAAGTGTAAAATAGCTCTTCGGTTTTGATAAAGCCGAGTACCACGCAACAAATTCCCAATGTGCACAATTCTGTTACTTTTAAACGATGTTATGCGAATATGCAACCATTTACATGTTTTTATATATTTTCAATATTCGTTATTTTATAAATCTTGTAAGAGCAAAAGCGAAATAAGTACCGTGATATCGTGGGATAGGTATGTTATTTTGATTAAGAACTAATAAATCAGTTGACTTTTTTTCACAAATTTTCGAAGCAGCCATTTGTTTCGCATTGAAGGAGTTGAGACTCTACTTGATTTCTCAAGGTGAGCCACGGAGGATACCCTTCGTAAGGTGGACAGCGGAATTCACCTTGTGAAATCTATGGTTCCCAATAACCTCACACCAATTAACCAATTCACACATTTATGCAATAAAGTGAACGTTAAAATATACCATACTCTTTAATATAATTTAATTTTCAGGTACAAGACCAACCAACCAACAAAATACGTTTAATGTTTTGAAACTATGAATTGCTGGCTCTATTTGTTACAAAACAGATAAAAAAATGATTTTTGATCGAATTTTTTATCACATTCTGGAACATAAGCCTTTTTTAAATTAAATGAAATTCAATTTTAAATATATATCAATTATAATTAAAATTATTATTAAAATAAATAATGGAATCAAAAAACACATTTTCGAACGTGTCATTAAAATTTTTAGACCCTAATATTTTGATGAGCTTTTCTGTTTATTTCTGAACGAATAAAGTTAGAAGCGCGATTTGATGGCCTGATAATTCTCGAAAGAATCCTGTCTGTTTATAAATACAACCGATCTTTTATATTATTTAATTAAAATCTTAAAGATCCTTTAAACATGGTACGTTCAGTTTAATTTTTACTTAGTAACGTTGAATTTCTGGTCCAAAATATGGCGGCAAATAGAGGTTATGATTTCAGAGTCACACAATTTTGCTGGTGCAGCCCGGTCCGAGGCCCGAAACCAGGACTTACTCAGACTACGAAAGCGTCAACGACTGCATGGAGGGTGTGTGTAAAATATATGAGGAACATCTGAAAAGGCGAAACCCTAACACACCCACTATCACGTACGATATATCACAACTCTTCGATTTTGTAGACCAGGTATCTAATTATTACTATATATACAATTGTATTGAAATGGAAACACTTGAGAAATGTGACAGAAGCATTGAAAGAACCGGCCTACCTTTTGATTATTAGTGAGCAGTGTAGATCACAAATGAACATGCTGTATTAATCTGAAAACGACTCTGAGAAGAAAGATTAAAGAATTTGTTTCTCTCACTTTCTTGACCACTTAATAATTTGACTTGTTGTTATTGTTTGTCTCTAGTATTTTGTAGAAGTCTACTTATATGTATAGTAAAAAAAAAATTACTATTTACAATTGAGATTATTGATACCATCACTTTCAAAGGAACAGTTTTCATTACATTTAAGAGTGAAAGGCTATTTGAGTTAAGCAACATTTTTGCAACTTTACAGGAGAGCCATTTAAAGTTTAAAATTTAGAAAAAATATCATAACAAAAAAGCGTCTTCAGCTATTTGAATGAGTAAACTTAAAACATCGAACAGTTGATGCTAATACCAAATAAAACATTACCTTTAATTACAAAAATAATGTTGCGTATTAAGCAAAACGTCACTTAAGCCTTTCACCCCTCAATATGATAATCGGCTAATTGGTTTTCAATATGATAATTTCAATATGTTACAAAATGATAAAAACCCACCTATTTGTATCATCCTTAAGATTTTTGCATAGATACTGATGTGTTACTTATCTACCTAACCCAGAAATCTGCCTGCTGAGTTACTTCCCAAGACTCCTCAGTGATCCTCATTTCTGATCTGGTAGTAGATGCATTTGCGAAGCAGCTGCTCTTGAACTGTTTGCTTATCAAGCCTGGGCAATTGTTAGCGAATTCCACCCCTCCTGGCTGAGCCTACACTGTCCAACCTATCCTGGTGATACAGGAATATCATGTATCATGACTATGCCTCATCTGTTAGGTAGAAGATCTCATTAATCATCTGCATTTTTTGTCTCCTAAAGTTTAGCTACTCTTTGTTAGCTATTTGCGTAATATTGACAAGCGATGGACTACATGGCCTACGTTTTCTTAAAATATGATCCATACTAGAGATGAAACTGATATCCGGTATCTGGCCTATCCGGCCATGATTTCACTATCTGGCAGATCTGGCCATGATTTCACTATCCGGACGATCTGGCCATTATTTCACTATCCGGCCAGATACCGGATAGTAATTCAGTATCCGGCCAATTGGCGATCGTTTTTTTGATGATGACATTTCTTTTCAATTCAAACATAAAATCACAACGACGCGCATAAACAAAAACAAACTCACACGCGCGAACACTCGAACGCCCCCGAGTCATCGCGAACTCCGCTCACGTGCGACAACACACGAACGCGCACGAATGTTTCCGAAAGGGCCGAATATCCGGTAAATGAATATCCGGCGCTCCGGCCTCGCAGCTTGCCGAATATTCGGTATCCGGTATCCGGCCAAACTACTATCCGTTTCATCTCTAATCCATACCATCTAATTTTGTCTACTTTACATTGCTCTTCGATTATTCATGTAATGCCCAAATTGATTCTAAACTCAGGACATGTTTTAGTACATGCACAACTTTTGTTTGCTACTGATTATTTAATATTCTGGATCTCAAACTGCACCTCCATCTCTTGTAGGATGAGTCTGATCTTGTATTTAATTTTCAATCTGTGTTTCATCAGATAAAAACAGTGGCTAGCTGTGAATGAATTCATAATTTTATTAGTGATAACCTAATCTCTGAGTAATTTTTAAAGAATTTCATTGATAATAAATATTCTTTAATATTATTTTTCATGACTGATGTTGTGCCTTCTTATATAAAAGCAATAGATTTCAATGTGTTGATGTCTATCTGGCTGCAATCATTACATTTGCTGTTATGGTGCATTATTTTGTTACGACTACATAATAACATAAGTTTTTTTTTGTTTTCAGTTGGCAGATCTGAGCTGTTTAGTTTATCAGAAATCTACAAACACATACGCACCCTACAACAAAGATTGGATAAAGGAAAAGATATATGTTTTATTGCGTCAAGCGGCCGGACAGAGTGATTAAGATTATAAAAAAAACTCAACATTAAGAACACCGTACAGTGTAAACTTGAAAAAATACATAGTTGTATAACATAATACAGTAAGAGAGAAATTATTATGTTTGGAAAAATTCTCTGATAAGACTCTTTAATGATCAAATTAATCTATTTTATTAGTGAAGTTCAACATTTAGCACTGTTATTTATGTAAAATCACCTACATAACGTGAAAACTATAAGTCCATCCCACATGCAAGCAGTTGTCAATGTATGTACATTATTTAAACCTATATTTGACACTTTTGTTGTTTTTTTAATTTCATGTAAAATACAGACTAGAACAAATAGTGTGCCTGCTTCCTCTAAAAAATTAGACTGTAATTGATTTAAGTAAACTAACTATGTCTTGAAGTCGATTAGTTGGTTAGGCTTTGCCCCTAAGGATGGTTGCTGTATTTTTTATAACCTTGGAAAATATATTTATGTTGTTAACAGCAGCTTCACCAATACGTGTTGTTTGAGGCAATCTAGAATTCATATATTACATTATACAACATTAATACAAATAACTAAGTCTACTGGTGACCGAGTTTGTTGTAAACCCTTTAGTGTAGGTAATATCATCCTGCCTATCTTTGCCGAGAGGCAGTTATCCGTTTCAGTTTGAGGGATGGGTCAACCGTTACACAATACAGTTAAAACTTTGACTTTATGACTCATAGTGGGTGACTGAATTCAGGTGATGTTTACGTGCTCTGATAAATGCTTTACACTAGGTGGACTCGTTGACCCATCTGCAGGGTGAACCAATATAGTCTTTTTACTTTTGATACATTAATTAAAAAAACCTAAATAAAGGAGATAAAAACTGTTTGCTTATTATGATTAAACATGAATATGTTTTTTTTTATTAGTCAAGATTCACCCTTGATTATATTGACACTGCTGTCATCTAGTTTTTTTGTGAAATGCTCTGCACATCCTTGCAAATATTGCTTCAATTCATCAAGAAACACGAAACTTCACTTTTAAGGTATCACAATAAAAAAATCGGGAAGGAGATTAATGCCAGTTAATGTTACTCATTTTGAAGTTCACTTTATGCTACAGCTACCGATGCAAAAGTAAACAAACTTTTGTTCCACACTGTACATAAGCGAAAATGTTTTTTTCTATTTAGCACATTAACTAATTAATTTGAGAGTTATTATCCAATATGGGGTTTGGAAAATGTTCAGAAAACTGTAAAAAGAGTAATAAATTCAAGTGGCCTGTAAGATTACTGTAAGAGTACTATAATTTAATTATTATGATTTATTGTTTTAGAGTCATTATAACTTATATAGTTAGCTGATCACATCATTGACGGGCAGCAAAAGGTGGTTTTTTTTTAAAACTAAAGCAAACAAGCAATAGATAATATCTTTTCAGATAACAGTAACGAATCATGTAGCAATTTAAATGGTTCATTTGGTTTCCGTGCAATTTGTCGAACTCTGCCTTTACAAATTACTCAAAACCACGTTCTAATGATACGGCAAGTTTGTCAGCTTTGATTGGAACCACCGTCCAACACATTTCTCCCACAAAGCAATAATGTTCCAGCTTATGCATTTGAGACATTGCCGGTAAATATTGATCCGTTGTCTGTTTTTAGAGGCAAATAAATAGTTAATTCATCCATCAAAGAGTAAATCTTACGTGAAATTCATTCTAATCATTTTTCAAATCGTATTAGACTAAAAAAGAATGTAAATGATAATGTCTCATGATTAGTCCATACATGATAGGCAGGATTTTTAACAAAGCAATTGATAAGTAACTGACAGATTGCTGGAATTAAAAAAAATTATTGGCCAAGTTAGATTTAGCAATACCTAAATAAATAAAATTCATAAATAATATCTAAAATAAGTATGTAATAAAAATAATTATTGGTGTTCACTGTCCACCATTTCTTGTAGTGACCTAGTGAGGCCTTGGTAATAAATAATAAACCGATCTGGTGATTTATCAAGGTTGAAAATAATTTATGTAACTTTTGAATTAATAATAACAATTGGGTATTTGACTGCTTTAAGGATACGTTTAAAACTGTTTAATGTTTTTGTAGCTCGCAAAATATTTTTATGAAAAATCAATTAAAAAAAAACAATGTTATGATTGTGACAATTAATGACGTTCCAAGCTAGGAACCATTTTATTTATTTTTCGTAGATAATACGGGTCATCTACCAGTTACCTATCACCCAGTTAAAATTCACCAATGTCATATATCTGATAATGAGCTCTTTGTGTATACAATAAGAAACAACGCGTTCGTTAGAAATGATATCAAAGGGTTTTAGGGCTGCCCAAAAAAAAAAAAAAAAATGGTCATGAATATTTTGTAGCATATTGTATTCTCATTTTTAAATGCCTATCCTGAAAAAAAGTCTTTGATATTGGTGAATTGACCCCAAGAAAAGATAACAAAGTTAAAAAACATTGAATTTTTAAAAGGACAATGTCAACCCGGTCTTATTGTGTTCAAAAGTCAAATACCCCATTGAAAATGGAACTATGTTACATAAAGCCTTATTAATGTAAATGTAAGAGTACTTCAACCACTTCGTTCCAAGGCAGTGGCTTGATGTCATCGTGTCCGGTGTAAAACTTCAATGTTCTGAGATGATGTTACGGTGTGAGCATTTCATTGATGTTCACTGTGCAGAAAATGTCAAGATCTTACTAGTATTGCCTTATAACTTGTGAAGAAGATCGTGGCATTGCAGGCAGCGAGCAAACGACTCTGATGATAAGTAGTCATTGTCACAGCAATTACAATGTAGGGTTTTGCTTGTGCACCAGTTCCTCCCAATGGACCGCACCCGAAGCGCTAGTTCATAGCCACACACGTCTTTGAGCGAGAGACTATTGAGCGTGTAGTTCGTGATTGTGTGAGTACTGCTGAACACTAGTGAGCAAGTGTCGGTGCACATTGTGCTGGTGTGTTGTTTATGTGACGGTCAGAGGAATTTAAATTTAAAATTTTGTACCGGTTTTGTTTTCAATTTGCATTCTTTATATTAATAAAGGATGTATTTACAAAACGACTTGTTTTTTTTTTAATTGACCTTTGTATTTTGTCAGAGTCATTCTTGAAGATTTTATTTTGCATGTTCACACAGTGAGTTGAAATATAACTATATAGAGGAGCAAACCTTGCGTACACAAAAGTGTAGCCGCTTTATGCGACGACGATGTAGCTTTGAAACTGTAAACATTTTAAATTAAACATATATCCATCTCTCTTACTCTAGTTCACTAGTTACGCGGCGTATCGTTAGTTGGATAAAGATGGTAATATTACTTGAAGCAGAACTATTTATGTTGCCTGCTATAAGAAATATTTCGCCAGAATATTTATTATTTAGACGAAAATTAATAAATAAAATAATTTAACTAAAATAATTTTGAATAAACTTAAATGAAGTTTTTATTTATTGCTTAGATGGGTGGACGAGCTCAGTAATACTAATACAAATAATTTATAATTGTGTAATAATTGTATTTGTGTGGTTTTTTTTATTCAGACGCATATTCAGAAACCATTGTGGTAGCCAGAATCAACTTGATGATCTGCCTCGAAAATTTCTGGATTTCATTAATATATAAATTTCCTATAATCATTCGAAAACCAAAAGATGTTTTACTGGCAATACTGAACCTTAATTTCATAGCCTTTTCTTGATGATCTTTAAAATCAGTTTTTGTTTTATTTACAATGAAAATCAATTGATAAAATTATGTGTGAAAAGTAATCCCGCTTGCCTTTTTGTGTATTTCCGACCTCGAAAGGCACTCTTTCGCCACAAATTTACCCATTTTTCAGGACTTAATATATTAAGTGTATAATCTATGACTCGGACGACGGCACGCATGTAACTGAATGAAATAAGCCGGGCATACGCCTGTGGGCTTATATTGAGTGGTTACGCGTTGACGCGGTAACTACTCATCTAGTATATTTAAATCAATGTGTTCACATTGCAAGCGTCGCAATGTTTGAATCTTTTATGATTAATCAAAATCCGCTCTTTATGTTGGTGCTTTAACGGTAGGTAAAGGCTTGGCTCTGCCCCTGGCATCGCTGACGTCCATGGGCGATGGTAATCACTTACCATCGTCTGCACAAAAGGGCGGTAATATTTTTTATTTTTTTATATAAAAAAATAATGTTAGGTATAATCCTTTCGTAACGATGAATTAATGATAAGAAAACAGGTTATGGACTGATAAATGCTTTCGTTAGAATTGTTTTGCAGCAGTAAGAAACATTACAAACTTAAGCAGTACCTACACAGCTCTCGAGAATTATATGTTAGGTTAGGTNTCGTCTGCACAAAAGGGCGGTAATATTTTTTATTTTTTTATATAAAAAAATAATGTTAGGTATAATCCTTTCGTAACGATGAATTAATGATAAGAAAACAGGTTATGGACTGATAAATGCTTTCGTTAGAATTGTTTTGCAGCAGTAAGAAACATTACAAACTTAAGCAGTACCTACACAGCTCTCGAGAATTATATGTTAGGTTAGGTATCTCGAATATATTAAGTGTATAATCTATGGTTAGGTAATTACATTTTTTCTATATCTTTCCCTACCTATTTGCTGGCAGTCGGGGATATTCCAGCTACGCATGGACGGGTGGGTGAGCTCACAGTCTCAACCTGAAAGAATTTGCTAAAACTAGCCCTAGCAAGAGCCCCACTGAGAGATCCAGCGAGAAACTCAGTGGGCTGTGTCTGTGGGCGAGAGAAGATTAGCAGCGTTGTGATTGTGTTCTCGATGAAACGAAACTGCTATATTAGTTACATAATATAAGACCTACTATAAACCACACTATATATAGACATATGTCTATCTATAGTGTGGTTTTTTTTTTTTTGCTGCTGAAAATTTGCTGGTGGCCTGGAGGCCTTTCCAGTTTTACCAGGACAGTTGGGCAAGCAAAGGCTCAGCCAAGAGGGGTGGGATTTGCTAACAGCTACTCGAGCGCCTCCAAAGGAGACCTAACAACTCAAGAATAGCTGTTTCGCGAATGAATCTACTGCCGGATCGGAATCGCGACTCGCTGAGAAGATCCGACGAGAAACTCAGCGGGCATGGGTCAGGTTGCACGTCGAACTCTTTGCGGAGTTCGACGAGTACGGTTACCGGAGTCCCTACTCCTAGTGTTAGAGCTAAAGGTGTCCAATGCAAGGATTATTAAATATAGTTTAGTCTGGAAGAGCATGATGTGTATAATTTAAATAACCATAATAGTTGAACATGGGTTTACAATCGTTTAACAAAAGTAGAAACCAAAATAAAACAACAGAATCCCTTAAAACTAAGTTTATTTGGATAATGAGATTACAATTTTATTTTACAAATATATAACTTGCCAAAAATTGCCGACTGATTTTTTTACAGATGTTTCAAAAAAAGAAAAACACGTGTGGCACTCGGGATCTCCCGCAGTAAAGCTATTGCATAGCATTTTTTATCAACTTATGCAATTATAATTAGACAATAATAATTTAATATTAAAACAATAATAAGACCAGGTTATATTTATAAACATTAACAAAAGCAAAACATTAACTGTCCCCTTCACACTCATTAGCTAGATCGCGCGAGAGAGAGATAGGCAGACTTTTCATGATGCGCATGCAGTGCGACGTCACGCCGCGCGCTTATCCACAAACACTACACAAGCGCAACGTGTGAATGTGTTGAACGCGAGCTACATGGTAGGCGGAATGGGGGTGTTAAGTTTTATTTTCGTTACGGAATTTCTTGATTCAGTCGCCGCACTCAAAGCCCGCGATAAAAGCTATGCAATAGCTTAAAACTAAACACAGATAGGGCCGAACATCGAAAACCAAATAAGGCATGGTTTTGTACAGTGACGTCAATGTTCAAGAGCTCGATATAATCTCTTTAATCGCACATTGAATTTATTTTACTCATAGAGCAGGACGCACATTGGACATAGCCGATATAAAATAACAGGCAAACATTACACAACACTCACCTAGCGGTAAAGAGATACCATTTTTGGTACCTGCTGTAGCATTTGTCTAAGAAGGTAAAGTTGCCTTTCCACCGAAGCGGAGCGAGGCAGCGTAGCGGAGAAACGGCGAAATATTAACCAATAAGATTGCACAAAATCAAAATCATAAGATTGCAAAATGACGTGAGTGAGTGAAACGGAGAAATATTAACCAATAAAATTGCACAAAATTCAAAATCATAAGATTGTGAAATAATTTTGTGCAATCTTATTGATGTTATTTCTCCGTTTCTTCGCTACGGTGGACAGGCAGCCTTAACACATTCTCAATTCAAGAAACTAAAGAAAATCAATCTCAAAATTGCCGTTTAAGAGTATTGACAGCATTCACATAATTCTACATACAAATACAAATTATAAATAAATGCAGTTTGTTCGAGTTAAAATACTGAATTGAATACTGCAGAGAGTACTGACTATGAGTGAGTCAGTGACAGGATACAAAATAATACTTGTCCAGGATGGGACCCATTGTTGGGTCGATCTTAAAATTTTATATACTAGTGTAGTCTTAGGAATATAGTATAAAAAATAATTAAAATTAAATTCCAACTAATCTATTGGTAAGTTGAGATTTCTGATACATTTCTTAAAGTTATAAACGTAGATTATAATCAGATCCATTTATCTTTTAACAGATTGTATGTTCTAAAGCGTTGAGATAAATAACAGTTAAAATATATAATTTCGATCATGACTAATAGTTTAATCCTATTCATATGTTGTAAAGACATAATCAAATTCATTATGAGAACCTTTGATGTACTCCTGTGAATTATTTCCAATAGCAAGACTTGCTTAATGCATTTTGATATCGGAGTATATGAGTAAGCCGATATTGCTAAGCACATTCAATTAACATAAAGATGAAGATATCTTAACACATTTACAATAGATGACAAACAATCATCAGGTTATTTTAGAGTGAAAAATAAAAAAATCTAAGTTCAGTCTTCCGTTGACCAAAAAAAATTAATTATTCTAATACAATAAAATAATAATACATATTCATATTTCAGTTGTTGCAAGTTGTATAGGTTGTATTATTGGTCTGTCTGTATAGTTATCAACCTAAAACATCTTACTTAATTTTACCATGAACATATTTTACCAATTCGGGACTTCAATACAATTAACAATTTTTATTTCATATTTTAATAGGTGAATATAGCCTCCAGTAACTGGTAATACGCGAAAAAATCAGTTTATTCTTTTTTTTTTCCAACACTGTTAATCGACTGACTCACGGAGACAATGGTCTCACAGAAACGCGAGCCGCCGCTATCAACCAATACATTGGGGGCTCACTTCATATGTATTTAATATAACGATAACCATGGTTAATTAAATAAATTAATATTACTATCAGTTTAGTAGTTTCACATTGAGACACAAGGAATATTACCAATACATTGTGTAGCCATAATAAGATATGGCCGATCGGAGCCAGCAGTGTATTACTTTTCAACATTTCCAGTTCATTTTAATTGGTTAACGTAAGCATAATTTTCGATCTTGTTACTGTGGCGGTCCGTACAAGGGCTGACAGAAGCAGATATTCATTTACCAATTATCAAGAAAATCGTAGCCGGTCTTTGGCAAAGCGGACATTGATTCGGTGAGTGTCTCCTGCGACTGGAAGTCGGTACCGGAGGACGCCTGCGACGACGACAACAATCCCCTGTTCTCCTCTGACAGATCTGAAATTGGAACAAAAGAAAATTAAATAGATAAACATTACATATTTAGAAGTTCTAACCTAGTATTTTCTTGTGGACCGTAAACTCCAATAGTCACTTCTAAAACCACTATATCTGGCGGGCATGTGGTGGTATCTTTGAAATGTCTATGAACTCATGTAGCCTGTCTTATATACTAGAGCAATTCGCAGCAGAACTTCACAGAACTCGGATGGAATCTACAAACATTAACTGAATGTTTGTTGAGTAGAAAAAATGAATACAATATTGAATTCAGTCTGTGTGTGTGAACACAACTTCAAGAAGAATGATTGTGCTAAAATCAGTCAGAAAATTGTTTCTTTTTTTACTAAAAATTTAATTAGTTTAACCTAGTTCCAATCACAAATAGTTCAAGAGGCTATCGCAAACAATGACGCCTTCTTCATAACACCTATTCATAGAACCACAAAGGTGCAGTAATATTTAATTGTCATTGTTTCATATTTATTGACAATGTTAGTCAAAGCCTGATTCAGTTTAGAAGTTAGTCTTATCTACAACAAATAGGTTAGGCCATGATACATCAGCGACCTTGTAATTAGTCTATCTTTATTGTGTACAGATGGTATGACTCAAACGTCAATTATTATTTTTTTCTTTTTTTCCTACCTATGCTGATATAGCCTGTTATGGCTATCAGACTTGAGAGCTCACCTACACGCTAGGGTAATGCTGATATAGCCTCTTATGGCTATCAGCATTACTCTAGCGTGTAGCTCTCAGGTCTCAAACCAGGTGTTGGTAACACTAGCCCTAGTAAGAGCAGTGCTTTGCAGAATCTACCACCGGATTGGAAACGCGACCCACTGAGGAGATCCATTCATATATTCTTTTTTTAATAGCATATGTGGCTACTAAACCACATTCTGTACTGAAGCCCACAGATATCATAATTTGAATGCTACCACTTTGGAAACCGAAAGTTAAAGTAGTACAAAGACTGTTGCTCTGCACCCTTCAGACCGATATGCTGCAGAGCTTCGCAGTAGAAACGGGCAGAACGGTGCCGTCTACCTAAAAAACGGCCGCAGAGCATATGTCTTTCTTGAATTATCATCCATTCAATGTTACTTTGTAAATTTCCATCACTTCTATAAATATTTCCCAAGAAAATCCATTCATTTTTAATTTTCATAAATGGAATATTAGAACCATTTTCCCCAGTTGATTTAACTAGAAAAAAATTGAAAGAACTGATCTTACAAATTCAGTAAGAAACTTAGTAATTACCATATTAAAAGTAGCAGTCAAAGATTAAATTAATATAGGGAAAAAGAACAGATAAATTATACATTTATTTTGAGAAGGCACACCAGATAGAATACAAGGTTTCTACGGAAATTAGCAATGCCAGGGTTATTGAAAGGTTACCAAAAAATCAAGTGTAACTAATCATACTATTCAAAACGCAAAACTAATTAATCATTTACTTAATTAAAGTCCTGATAGTTCTAATACCAAGTAAATCATAAATTATATTGACGCTTGAAAGGCAAACGTGACTAAGTGACAATGCGTGAACTTTACAGTAGACTAATTTAAAGTTGAAATACCTGAAAATAAATTTTATTTTAATGAATCTAGCTAGTAGCTGTAGGATTGAAATGATTTTAATAGACTTAGAAATATAAATTTTTTGCGCATCGAATATGTATTGCCTATCATTTATGTACAAAGCAGTTATTGTCGCTTAGTCACGTTTACCTTTCAAGCGTCTATATATTAAAATGATAATTTAACATGATAATAATTTCATTAAACTCACCACTGCTAGATTTCACCACACTATTCCTATAATCTCTGCTATCATTTTGCACACTCTTAAAATTTGTTTTGAAGAAGTTATCTGAAGAAGCAACAATCTGTGTCTGGTTGCTCAATACTAAGCACTCTCTGTCTTCATCTTTACTCTTAAAGTTTCCCATGAATTTACTTATGAAGCCCGGTGAAGTGACCTCTCTTTCCTTGTGAGAACGTAACTCATGGGACTTGAGAGCATTCTTCAATTCTGACACAACTTTAGAGTGAGATAACTCCAATTCAGACATCACAGGTGGAGGTGAAGTAGGCTTTTCCTTAGGTACTCTATAAGAGCTTAAAACGCACAAATCTAGCTGACTCTTAGTTTGGTATAGAAATGGAGCTGAATGTTCATCTCTGTACGAGGAGTTCTCATCCTGTATTAACTTTTGACCATGTTCGCGGCCAAAGAATGACATCAAGTCATTTTTTTCTGCAGGTAAAGCATTCAAATCAAAATTGAATGTATCCAGCAGAGAATATTTTAATGTGATGTCTGGTTTTATGAGTGTGTCGTTTAAAAGTTCCACCTGAAAATTTATACTTCTTTTTAGGCATCACTCAACTTACAAGTACATGAATTGTGAATCGATTTATATAAGCTAAATTTATACCATTGAACAATGAATTAAGAGTACAAAAATAGAAGTATCTAATGTGATATTTTTTAATATGAGACACGCTGCAGTGCTGACTAATAATATTTATCTTCAACTAGAATAGTTTCAATTGCACTAAATTTTTAGTGAAAATATTAAATTAAAACTAATTGTTAAAAGCCTATTCATAAATCGTATATTACAAGTAATATTTTATAAAGGAAAACTGGCTGTAAATCATACGGAAAAAATAGAATGCGGAATTGTGGTGGTCTATGTATGGCAAAAACACTCATTTAAATTAATTTAAATTTTAAAACAATACCGAAATAAAGAATTAATGTTGTGTTGTAATTACTTACTTTTTCCTTTTCCGTGAGTGAATCCCAGATGTTTTCGTATAAATTTTTCGCTTCAATTATGTCTTCGTGAATTTTCGCTGCTAACGGATTCATAGTGCGGAAATAATCTTCGGCAGCGGCGCTCAACGCCATTTTTCAAGAATTACTTCAATAAGTTTTAAGATAAATAGTCTTAAAATTATTGAGATTCACCGTTACCACTCAACAAGTTAGGCTACAACTGCATAACCATCATGAATTAAAAATAAATAACGAATATATTAACACATACTACCGTAGCTCCTGAGCATCACATTAATTACTACAGAGTAGACTAAAGTAGACTTGTGTAGGTACCTAATTAAGGAAAAAAATCGATACACCGATTTCGGAACATAAATTTAACTGAAAATCGACGTTTAGAAAAATATATTTCAAATTCCAAGTATCGAGTGGTATTCAAATGTTCAGAATAACAGAAACGAAATTATAGTTAAAAATTTGAATACTAATTTACTTTTAACCTTTTTTTATTTTGACAGGTTCGCGAATTCATGGCTGCTATAGTATTTCGTGGTTATAGGAGCCCATATAGATGATTACATGTATGTTGCCTTCTACCTTGATACATAAAATCTAAATCTTATTGAATATTACGACAGTCCCATCCTTCAAGCTTGAGTGCATTACTACCTATTACGGGACAGAAAAAGGTAAGGTACAGGTTGTTTTGTGAGCAGCTAATAAATTTATTCTAATGTAAATTATTATTAGTTGCATTTATTAGAACCTAGCGTTTACGTGCGATATCCCTCGCACAAATATAAAGAAATGGATCAGCTGGAATCGTGCATTTTCTGGATGAAAGGTAAAACAAACATTCATGCCAATTTTATTGTGAACATTTAAGTAGTTATGACTTGAAAACGCAATAAAATGTAAACAAATTCTCTTTCGCAGATATACTCGTAGTACGGACAACGTCTCTTGACTGATACTTATTTATGAAAGTGTAAAAGAGTTAGCTGGAAAATTAAAATATCGATATTTGAAAAAAAAATCATATTTCAATCGATTCTTTTTGACGGTTGGACACCTCTACCACAGAGTATTAACTTAAATCTCAATAAAACATGTCACTTATCATGTCTGGTGTAGGTACTTGTATCAAATAGTATCAATCGATGCGAATGATGGGCCATAGTTTAGCCTTACACCGATCACTCACATTCGCACGAATACGCAAACCCGCAAGTGTAGGACGACATTTGCAAATGATTATGCAAAGTTTTCGCTGCATTCGTGGTTTTCCAAGCTGTGTCGGTTTTTTAACAGACATCAAAGCGCGCGAACCGCTATCCTTCGCGTAGTCTCCCACACATTCGTGTAACCAGTTGCGCCGTTGCGCCCAGGATTGCGAAGGCAACGGACATTTCGCTATTTTCATAGATGGTGAAGTCTAATGGGTAGCGTATCTTCATCAAAAGAAATCCCATAAAAACAGCATGGCTGTTAATGATGTCTGGGAAAGAATTCAAAACTCTTTTTCTCTTCAATGTTTTATTGACGAATTAAAAAGGAGGAGAAATTCGTGAGACATTCGTAAACAAGTGTAGGAGGAAGCGCAAACGGGTTCGCAAATTGAGTACCGAAATCATTTGCACAGCCGCTAAGTTTGCGAATGAATGTTTGACGGCCCTTCACATGCGCGCAAACATTCGTACAATGTACGAATATTTGCGCGCATGTGAGTGGCTGGCATTAAACTTTTAAATTCTTAATTTCGCAAATTTTCTGTCAATTTCATTAAGTTAATTTAAACATAAATTTTCGAGCTATACCTACTAACTTTTGTCCATTATAATTTCATCATTACAGTGTATACATACAGCTTAAAGACATACAAGAACAAATATGTTTTTACTCATAGTTGTTAAAAATTATCATAACGTTTTCGACAATCATCGTTGAGCCTTTGTTTACTCGATTTATAGATAGCAACCCTCAACATACTGTTTTATTAATGTATTCTTGTAGTAAGCATCGATGTTTTTGAGGTTTCGATCTCCGCTAAAGTATTTATCGACAACACTAATTTAAATGTCAAACAAAGTTTAACCAAAATGGCCAACTTATTATTTTCTTGTTTACTTTGCAGTTTTTAAGCCAACATGTAGCCGAAATATGTGATAATTCAACGGCAAAAAGTGTTTTTCACAATAATGTTACACAACAATGGGCCTTTTGGCCCGAATGAAGCATCAGTGAATATGAACACTCAAGTTAACATGACGTTCAATAATAGTGTAAATTACGTGAATAACTTGAATAAAATCACCCAGGAAACCGAACAAACACCGGGTGTGGCATACAACTTCCCCAATTACGGTTTCGGACCTCCAGGATTAAGCATGAACCCACAAATTCCACGTTATCCAACATATCACCTTGATAATATGCACTCCGCTTTTACGACTCACAGATCGCAAAAGTTCGACCCAATGCCGTGGAGCAGTAGTCTAATGCCTACCAACTTTAATCTACAGCACGGAGAGCCCCAGAAAATAATGGGTTATCACCAAACTTACGACGCAATCTCTCCTCACCCATTGTCCAGTACTGATACATATCACAGAAACCTACATTATAATGTACCACATCCGCAACCTTTAGACTACGCAACCTATGGATCGCACGACTCTAGAATAGACCACAACTCACAAGATAATATAACAGTGAATAAAACCACTACACTAAACGAAACAAAACGTAAAAGTCTCGAAAACACCGTAAGATTAATAGAAAATATATTAAGTAATGCGTCTAATAAGAATACGGAGGAACTTGACTCGCCTCGGTCAAACATCCAAAACGAAACTGAAGACAGTCAAACAAACCAAAATGTGACCAGTACAACTGAAAAAACTACAGACATATCAAGTGACGAGATGAAAAGCAACGATAACCAAATACAGAGCTCTGAAAACACACAGGATTCCTTCAATTTTGATGAAAGTTCTAAAGGTGAATCACAAAATTCTGATGACAAGTGCAATATAGACGATGGAGACGGTGAAGATTCGCTCAGCAACATTGAAGTTAAAGTTGAAATGACATGCGGAGAGACAGAGTATATTAATCCATATTTGAAAGACCCAAATGGAGTTCAGAAAGATGGTTTAAATGGAACATTTGTGTCAGCAGAGAATAGCATTCGTGAGGCTATTGAAGCAGTAAGAGCTACTAGTAAGTAAGAATAATATATGCACTAATTTGAATTAAACGTACAGCTAATCTAAATTTTGTTGAAGAACAATGCATAATTACAAGTTCTAACTTTAGTTATAATAAATAATCTAATTAGTAGAGTATACATTTGAAAAGGTATTAAAACNGGAACATTTGTGTCAGCAGAGAATAGCATTCGTGAGGCTATTGAAGCAGTAAGAGCTACTAGTAAGTAAGAATAATATATGCACTAATTTGAATTAAACGTACAGCTAATCTAAATTTTGTTGAAGAACAATGCATAATTACAAGTTCTAACTTTAGTTATAATAAATAATCTAATTAGTAGAGTATACATTTGAAAAGGTATTAAAACCATTGTTATTTTATGGAAATATTTATTATATTCTACATTGATCTATTCAACTTATAAAATTTGAATTTAGAAACCACAGGTAAAAGGTTTTTTTGTTGTTAAATGTCAAACTAAAATGATGTAGTCATTTATGTATCTCATGTTTCATCTCATTGGTTCATTTAATTAATGTTTTTCTGCTTTTTTGACTTCTGTACATACAGACACTTAGCAATTTTATAAAAATTTAAGATATGAAATTAATTCTCCGTTCACTTTAGTATTCTCTAAACATGTAAATATTCTATGTAAAGTTTTATCTCCTAATAATATTTATCTTTAAAGTAGTTAGTCTAACATATTTGTTTGTGCTGTTCTTAAAATCACAGATTCGCATATGGAAAAAGTGATCAAATTTATTTGTATTTAGATATATTTTTTGTCTAAACACCGGTCATACTGTGACATTGTCAAAATCAATGCCTAAGGTGTTCAAGCCGAAATGCTATATAAAAAAAGGAAAAAAAAAAAGATATAAAACTACTTTACTGGGCTTGGTAGTTAGGAAAAGGATCACATTGTTTTTGAATACTGTTTGAGGCATTATAAGGAAAGAGCTTAGACGTTTTTATGTAGTTATTGCATATAAACGTATTAGTGTACATGGCACATTGAATTCTCAGCTACAGATACATAACAATAATCATAACATTTAATCTAAAATAAAAGATTTTGCAGACATATCAGTAGTCTGGTAGTATAAATCTCGACCCATTCATCTTGTTAGAACCACATAGTCACTTATATGATCCAGTGTCTTAAAAAAAAACAATACGGTCCTCATTGTATGTCAACTGTCATATATATGTATAATTGTGTAGTCCTTTGAGTGGACTTTACACTAACAAGGCTTTTTACAGTATAGGTTTAGAAAAACATGATCAAATTGGAATTATACTTTATTATTTAATTAACTCAATTACAAGTTTAAGCACACATATTAATGAAATGGAGAATATGTACCCTCACTAATTACGCTCTTTAATGATTTTCCAGAATGTGTGATCACGGGAACTGTGGTGAATTTAAGTTATGAATGCCCACATTGTAGCCTCATGTTTTGTAATCCGAAACGTTTCCTCATACACACAAAGTGGCATACCTTGGGCTTCAATAAGAAGACGGAGAGGGCTAAGCGAAGAGAGATTAGGCGGAACGAGAAGAGAGAGGCTAGGATGATGGAGAAAATGAATGAGGTAGTTTATTTGTTTATTGAGGGATTTTCTGCTGTCACATGTTAAGAATTACTAGATGGTAAATTACATTATAGGTTAAATCAGTGGTTCGTATTAGTGTATTTTTTAAAAGTGTAAGACACATTTAAATGCAATCATCATTGGTCTCATATGAGGCCGTCAGGGCAAAAGTGGCCCTACCCACAATTCATATTCGTGCTTATATATTGCAATTTATTTAAAACATAATAGATTTCGATGCAAAATCGGCCTATCCCTAGATAATAGATGCCTTTGTAAACATAATTTTAGCGCGTATTTTTTTGCCTGCGAAGTAATGTAAAGGTAAATTCGAACCTCATATCTCCATACTAACTATGGTAAGCTTAGGCCACTTTTGCGCTGACGGCCTCATATATGCTTGTTACCAGCTCCAACGAAGACCAACAGCATCAACAACAACGTTTAAGGAATGAGCTTAAAATTTCTGTAATTTGCATTTCAAATATCCAATCTGTTCGCTTAATAAAGTTCAAAGATAATAGTTTTGTAAGTTAGTGAGTTATAATTTTTTAATAATCTTTTGAATAACAAGACTAATTTCAGGTGAAAGAGGAGCCAGTAGGAAACGGTCAGACCTTTTCTTGCAAGGACTGCGATAGAGTATTCATAACGAAGAGTCGACTGCGCTACCACAGGCACACGTGAGTCAACACAAACAGTTACTAACCACCTGGTCGCACGTCCCACGACATCATCACTGTCAAACTTTTTTTTATTGCCCTTGTGGGCAGACGAGCATACGGCCCACCTGATGGTGAGTGGTTACCGTCGTCCATGGACTTCAGCAATGCCAGGGGCAGCGACAAACTGCTGTCTACCGTTAAGTACTCTCCATAAGCCTCGTTTGAAGAAGGACACGTCGTAGCGTTCGGGAAACACCGTGGAGGGGAGCTCATTCCAAAGCCAAATGGTACGTGGCAAAAAATATGTCTGGAAACGCATTGTGGATGAACGCAGAACTTCAGGTAGTGTGAATGAACTCTACTCCGGTGGCGGGCGGTGCGATGGTAGAAACGAGATAAAAATTTGCAGCTCGAGCTCGACAGCTGCTGAGCTTTCGACTGTTTGAATATGACCTTGACCTCTGGTTCTCTTGAAAGCTTAATTCTACACATAATACGTTTTTCTCTTTTTATTGTCGTTTCAAGAAAATTCTCATCGAGTACAACCTCCCCTCCTCTTTACCATTACTAGTGGTGATGGAATATTTACATGCCCGCAGTGTTCACTCGACCCGTCGTCGCGTGAAGGTGCAGGAAGAAGGAGCGCCCTTCCAGTGCACCGACTGCCCGAAGCAGTTCAAGCACAGACATTCCCTGGAGAAGCACAGGGCTTCGCACATGGTCAGTATTAGTCAACACTGCCACTGAAGGGACTGAAACCTCACACTTTATTATGTATGACCATCTAAACCATAGGATTGCTACTTGGTTTTTTGGACTGCTTCGGTGAGGTTGTAGTTAGTGCCTCTGACTCCTGTCGTGGGTGTTTGTCTGGGTATTTAATATTTAGTATATCTTATATGTCTTCGATTACATATTTGAAGGGCCGTGTATATACAATAGTATTGAAAATCGACTTTGCTTATCCAGGTGGGTGTCGATTCACGTTATGATGTCCATGGACTCGTGTGATCGTTAAACACTAATGTTATGTTACAGGAGAAAATCCACGAGTGTCCCGATTGTCCAAAGAAGTTCGGTTCGGTGTCGCAACTGAAGATGCACTCGAAGACTCACGAGCGGATCACGCGGGGACACACCTTCCACTGCACCTACTGCGGGAAGGGGTTCTACGAGAGCTACAACCTACAGGTCGGTCCCGCCGCGCACGCACGCACGCACACGCATGCACCCGTCGACGTGCGGCGTACAATACGACCGATTCTATTGAACATTGAGGAGACGGTTGGAACACTCGTATGGCAGTTCAAAAAGCAGTAGGCAGCGACTTGGCTCTGCCCCGGCATTGCTGAAGTCGATGAGCGACGGTAACCGCTCACCATCAGATAGGCCGTATGCTCCTCTGCCTACAGTGTAATTTAAAAAAATCAAGAGATTACACTGCAACAGTAGTTATTGATTGTGTGATCATTCATTCACTCACTTACTCATTAATTCATTATTTTTTATTTATTTATCATTCACTTACTCACTTACTCGTTCATTCCTTAATACATTCATTTGTTCACTCATTAAGCACTGGCACTCATCGGAGAAGCCACCATTATTAACACCATCGTCAGACATCGTAGGGTGATCGCGCTAAGAGAAATATTGAGTACACCAATCACGTTTGTTGTCTTAGAACAATTTAGAAATCTTCTCTTGACGTTAGCAAACGAAAACGAATGACAGTTCTTCGGACGGAGGCACCGCTCTTCAAGAAGGTTGGTTGGTAAGTGTGATGACGTCTACGCGCCGCCATCGGCTAGGCTCTGTCGTAGCACGAAGTTAGCAGAGTTTTGAAGATACCGCGATCGCGCTGCCATCTCGGTGAAGGAATAACGTCATGTAATAAAAATCAAACCCGCAAAATTGTAATTTGCGTAATTACTGGTGGTAGGACCTCTTGTGAGTCCGCGTGGGTAGGTACCACCATCCTGCCTATTTCTGTCGTGAAGCAGTAATGCGTTTCGGTTTGAAGGGTGGGGCAGCCGTTATAACTATACTGAGACCTTAGAACTTATATTTCAAGGTGGGTGGCGCATTTACGTTGTGGATGTCTATGGGCTCCAGTAACCACTTAACACCAGGTAGGCTGTGAGCTCGTCCACCCATCTAAGCAACAAAAAAATTAAAAAATCTCTCGGGAATCGTGCTGTGTTTCGTTTAGCTACCAAACTAATGACCGTCTCCGACATAAATATCTCAATGAAACCAACAGGTTATATTAACGAGTTGTACAATTGCGTGTGTTACAGGTCCACGAGAGGACGCACCGCAACGAGCGTCCGTACGTGTGCGACATCTGCACCAGCACCTTCCTCACCAACTCCAGCCTCAAGCGACACCTGCGGGTCGTGAGTATCCCCGCAGCCCCCCCCCCCCCCCCCCCCCCCCCCCACTGAGACCCCCATACACTGACATACATACATAAAAAACGTATCGAGGGATGAAAGGCTACATTTATCTTTGTAGTTAAAGATGCGTTTTATTTGGTATTATTTGGTATTTGTATGCAGACGAGTATACGCCCCACGCAGACGAGTATACGCCGGCGTCCCCTGACACCATTACGCTCATACCTATTGGTAAAATACCTTCTATACATAAACGTATTATTAAACAAGTCCTCAACTCCCGCAGTCGCACAGCAGCGCGAAGCCCTACGAGTGCAAGCACTGCCACAAGAGCTTCGCCAAGGAGAAGATCCGGGACTCACACGAGGTCCGCGTGCACGGCGACCCGGAGTCCTTTCGCTTCCACTGCCCCCAGTGTCAGAACAAGTCAGTGCTTGTTGACTACCCACATACTGTGCATAAACACAACTCTATATAGATATGGCCAGTACGAGCATAACGAGCATACCATCGCCCATGGACATCAGCAATGCCAGAGCTCAGCCGCTGCCCACTGTCTAATACCCTCCACAAGCCTTGTTTGAAGAAGGAAATGTCATAGCGCTCGGGAAACACCGTGGAGGGGAGCTCATTCCAAAGCCGGATGGTACATGGCAAATAAGATCTCTGGAAACGCACTGTGGATAAACGCAGTGGCTCCAGGTAGTACGGATGAACTGTACTCCGATGGCGGGCGGTGCGGTGGTAGAAACGAGATCTCAAATAATTCTTCAGTGCAAGTCTTCTTCTTCATGCAGTCCCTGTGGAACATACGGTACAATATACAGAGGGAACTGAAGTCCCTCCGTAGACTCAGAGGTTCCAAACGAATAGATGATAAATGAAATACTGAATGTCGCGCCGTTGAGACATGAGGTCGAAGATTCCATTGGATTACATCAGGATTGTCCGACCCTTCATATTGAAAGGGTGAGACAGTATCAGTACGCTGGTGTTATAGAAAGAGCTTATTGTTTATTTTCTGGTGAAGCTATTAATTACCGGACGAACTCACAGCCCACCGGATGCTAAATGATTACTGGAGCCCATAGACATCTACAACGTAAATACCACCACCCACCTTGAGATATAAGTTCTAAAGTCTCAGTATAGTTACAACATCTACTCTACCCTTCAAACCGAAACGCATTACTGCTTTACGGCAGAAATAGGCAGGGTAGTGGTAATTACGCGAATTATAATTTTGCGGGTTTAATTTTCATTACATGATGTTCACTGTGGAACTCTTCCACCAGGTACACAACGTTCAAAGATCTCCAGAAGCACACGTACAAAGCGCATCCTAAAGGTAAGAGACGCAAGCGGAGACAGGATCTCGACGACTAGTGAACGAACTCTCGTACTGGCGGCGTGGGGCGCGATAGCCACTGGTGACGTCATATGTGCGTAACGTGAAATACGAGTTCGATGGACCATTGGCTAGTGGGATTGGTAATGGTGTAAATACAATAGTCAGCTAGATAAGATAACGTCACGACAAGGTGTGTCGTGCAGCCACCGGGCATCAGCAAGTAACAAAGGAAGTCAATAAAGATGGTCATTTAAATCACATTATTCATTAAATTAAATTCGAGTTTCTGTTTGTAGTATTAAAATAGCAGCCTTTTTTTAAATATTAAATGCGTATGATTTATGTACGGTATTTACAAAACAATTTAATAAATAGTAAAACTTTTGTCCGTCCGTTTACTGCGGTTGATGTCGGAAGCGGCCGAACCAATTCTGACGGGACCTTAGTTGGCGGATAGCTGACCTCAATTAGCAAAGAGTAACAACATAAACTAATTATGTTTTAGTAAAATAATTAGGGTTCCGCGTGCAAAAAAAACCCATCAAATTGTGATCAAAATGCGTTTCAGATAAGAAGGTTGTTTATTTCAGACGAAGTCATAGCGGAGCGTCACCAAGACGAGCTAGTCATTAAAGTTGTAACATTTCGTTTCGTGGCGAGCTGAAAAACGTAATGCGTGACGTCATATGCGGTAGTCTCGAATGACGTCATCGACGAGTTTCTTCATGTACGCGGCGGTAGTCCAGTCATTATAGGAGGTTGACCTCTAAAAATCGGCATACCCAGTATATTACCAAGTAAAAACTTGTATTTTGGCACCCTAAAACTATTCTTAAAATGCACATAATAATATAATTAATTGGATGGTCGCAAGTTTTAAAGTCGCAGGGGTCAAAGGTCACAAACATCGATTTTTTTTACATTTTTTGCAAATATCTCCTTTTAATAAAAAGTTAATAAAAAATTATAGTAATTAATATTTAGCAATAAATTATAACCTTAATATTACGAATTTTTGATCGAGACTACCAGTTGACCTCAGATAATTCTCTGACCGCGCGCTCTACGACCTTTATCTCGAAAACAGTTCAAATTATAAAAAAATGTTAAATAGAAAAGTTGTAGAGAAATCAATTCTCTTCAATAATAATAAATATAAATAGCGTAAAACCCATAGAGAAGGAGATATTTGCAAAAATGTGTTTAAAAAAAACGACGTTTGTGACCTTTGACTGTGAATTTTGAGAATAGTTTTAAGATACCAAAATACAAGTTTTTGTGGTAATATTTTCCGAGATATTCACCTAATTTGGCCTAAAATGACTGGACTAAGTAGTTCTGTAAATTAAAAGTGTTTGTCAGGTTTGAACATCGTTACACCATATAGGGTATGTCTTGATGCTTTTATTATGAATGAGGGATTATTGATGGCCTCTACAGTTTCACCAGGACAAGTAGGCGAGCAAAGGCTCAGCCAGGAGGGGTGGGATTTGCTAACAGCTGCCCGAGCGCCTCCGAAGGAGACCTAACAAGGGCAGCTGCTTCACGAATGAGTCTTGATGCTCTCCTGATCAAGGTTCGCCGTCAGATTTCTTATTTTCTGTCGACATACGATATGTGATTAGAATATCTATGGAAATGGTAGTGCAAGGTAGAGGGGTAAGAGGTCGACCGAAGAAGACATGGATGGAGTGTGTGAATGACGATATGAGAGAGAGAGGAGTGAGTATTGAGATGACGGCTGATTGAAGAGAATGGAAGAGAGAAATTCGCTGTGCCGATCCCACCTAGTGGGATAAGTGGGAGACAAAGAAGCGAGGATTAAATACGACAAAATTATCTTTCATTCCCTTTATTATTATTTATAATACGTCAATACTGATATTAAAATGTTAAAAAACAATAGTGTATTATTAAAAAAAAAATTGTCGTTTTGTTTGTAAATAAAATATTGTAAATAATGTAGATTATCAAATGTGTATATAGTTAGTCCGGAAGCGCGTTGATTATTTTTGTTTTTGTTTTACAGAGTAAATAATGAATAATGAATGATGAATGTAACCATGCACTTTGAATATTAAGACGAAAATGATCTGATTTAAACGATTAAAGTGAAAAAAAATTAACTGCTCATTTTCTATAAAGATATATATTTAACGAAACGTGAAAGGCTATTTGGTTTAAGCAAAAAAGTGGCCCAAGCTTACTATAGTTATTATGGAGCAATGAGGTTTAAGTTTTCATGAATTTGAATTTGAGTAGGCAAAAAAACAATACGCGCAAAAATAATATTTACGAAGCCATCTGTTATCTATCGGTGAAACTATGGATAGGCCGGTTGTGCATCAAAATTTATTATATTTTAAATAAATTGCAATATACATAATTATGAGCATGATTATGAAAAATTGTGGGTTAGGCCACTTATGCGCTGACGGCCTCATTTAATGGTCAAAATTTTGATGAAAATATCATAACAAAAAAACTTCTTCAGTTATTCGAATGGAGTAAACTTAAAAATGAAGTTCAAATAAAAATATCGAATTGTTGATGCTGATACCAAATAAAACGCGCCTTTAATTACAAAGATAAATGTCGCGTGTTAAGCGTAATATCGCTTAAAACAAATAGCATTTCGCATCACTCGATTATAAATTATTAGATGAGATAATATATTACCTCAATTATCGAACTGGTATTCAAGATCGGTGTTCTTGGTGCGAGATTTTTAGCGGCTAGGGGCGCTGTTCAAACTGTATACAAATTTGAGAGAGAGAGAGAGAGAGAGAGAAAACATACTTTATTGCACACCAAAACACAATTAAGATCAGAAAACAGTCAACAAGCAGATACGTTTGTACAATAGGCGGTCTTATCGCTAAAAGCGATTTCTTCCAGACAAACGTTTAATTACCCGAAATTCTGGACAGATAAAGATACAGCAGGTATGTTACGGTGCACTATTAACAACACATTATTAAAAAAAATACATACGTACAATTATTAGATATATACCGTTAAACAAAATATGAAATCACCATATGATTTCTATTCCAATATACTTACATAATAAATTAACAGTAAGGATAAAGCATAAACAAGCAAAGAACACTAGGCGGATAGGTAATGTTCCTTCACCATTTTTTTAAAGCAATTTTGAGCTATTAAGCAATTTTTAAGGCAGCGGCCTGGCTCTGACCCTGGCATTGCTGAAGTCCATGGGCGACGGTAACCACTCACCATCAGGTGGGCCGTATGATCGTCTGCCTACAAGGGCAATGAAAACAAAAAAAAGGGTGCGTGTACTTATGTACGTGCGTAAGAAGTTATACTTTATTTTTATTAAAGTTATTTCTTTTCTTTTTTTAATATTAAATAATTAATAATAAATATTTAACGTTAATAATTTAATAATACTTAGTATGAATTATATTAAATAATAATTTTGTCAGTTATATTACTAAAAAATGATTGCTAATAACACTTTTTTTTAAGAGTGTACACGCGCGAAAGTTCACCTTCGGCTATATTCAGACTCGCCAAGTTACGTCGGTCGTATTGTAATGAGCGATTTAGTGGGCAACTTCATTTCTGTTAATTTTGTGTCACGGAGCGCGCGCATCGTAAAATTTCACTCTCATCAATTTTTCATAACGCGCCTAAAGAAGTATAACTTCAAAAAGTTAACTTTTACGCTATCGAAAACGTTAAAAACTCGCACTAAGCACAGTGACCTCGTGGAAGACGCAAACCACAATGTCGCGACAAAGAAACCTGTACATAGAATCGTGCCGTTTTTTATTTGTAAATAGACAAAAAAATCGAAGGAAAGAAAGTAATTTACAATATTATTCGATATAGAGAAGAGACAGAGTTTATATTTGTTATGTTTCATGTATTTTAAATGTAAAAATTAGTTGTAAGTAATTTTTTTTTTTTCGGAAGATTAAATTAATTGCATTACGTTGTGTTTCTTTTATTTTTTCGTTTCCGTAGCGTGGAGTAGAGATAATTGCCGGCAGAACTATGGGCCATCACATGAGTCGGTCGGTGTGGAAGATATGCAGTCTTCTATAGATCTAGTCAGGTCCGGATTTAGGGGAAGGCCTCAAAAAAAAAAGTTTTGAGGTTTCCCACATTGCATCTCAAGTTCAATAAAATAAACACTAATATGTTTAATAAAATTTTATTACGCTTATATTCAATCCACATTTAATGATATAGCAAAAAGAAGAAAAATAATATATTATAAAATTATAACATTCTTAACATCGTAACTTCGAGAAGCAGTTTTATACCCAGTAGCCAGTCAAACTGACCGTAATCAAAAGAATATGAACATAAGCGATATCTATAGATTTTATACGAAAAAAAGCCCACATTTTATCCCGTAAAGCATCCCGACCCCGCTGTTTGATTTAGTACAGATCTCTCTTCGCTAAATTTCATTAATGTATATATGGAGGGTAGAAGTAAGGAAATCCATCTTAGTGTATTAAAATGTCCGCTAATCAAGGTGGCGCCACAGTAGCAAGTGGAGAAATTTTAAACAACTCCATAAACTAGCACACTTCACTTCAACCCGATACACTTCACTCTTTTCAAAACTGCTATGTTCATATGATTTTCACTTCCTACACTAGCGCTATTTCGGCGCGTCTTCCAACAACAACTTGCTGTTTACTACAGATGGACACTTTTTCAACTTGTCCCCCATACAAGATGGCGCTCTTACTTCTACCCTCCATAATGGTAATTTTAAAACATACCCTCCTATATAGAAAATATATCACGTTTATCAAAGAAATTTTAATAATTTTACTTAAGTTTAATTTTCTTACCTCTCATTGAGCTCACCGGGATCATTTAAAATAAATAATAAAATCCAGCGGGAAAAAAAAACACATGGTTTTTTTTAAACTCCTTATCATATTACTTAATATATTCGCGTGTTATTATTGTTTAATAATATTAGTACTGCGAGATTAACATTCCCTTTTCGACTTGATCGGCCTTTTCCTTTCCCGTCAGCAACTCGATGAGGGTTAAACCAAACCAGTACGCCGTGCCGGGACCCTGGGGAACATACAGGACCACGTTACACAGGGGGAGGGACAAAGTGACCTCAGGGGACACTCATACTGATCAATCCACGTCATCTGTTGATAACGTTATTATCTATACATTGCTGCCATCTAATAGGAAGGTCATTTATTTGCGATAGAACTGGTGATCTAGATTCTACAAACTGCGAAGTTTTTTTTTATCATGTACAAAATTGTCCAAATCACGAAAAAAATGGTAGTCCGTTGGAGCAAGGTCTGGCGAATACGGAGGATGACAAATGATTTCTAATTGCAGTTCCTGTAGAGTTAAAACAGTTTCTCGTGCTGTATGAGGTCTCGCGTTATCATGGAGCAATAATGGTGAAGATCGATTCATGAATCGAGTCAACTACTAAAAATCGATAATCGAATGTTGCACATTTTTCAAAAGAAGAACCTTATAGGTACCGTTTGAAAAAAGTTTCACTCAAAAATTTCAAGTTCTATGTCAATTTGGAGTGCCTATTACAATAGAACGGCAATTTCATACTTTAACCCCCTTAGCTTTATAATAAGATCACTGACCCGGCTGGTGACCACGTTGCCGTCCACCACCACCCTCTCCCCCTCCACGTACGTGTAGTCGCCGGCCGACAGCTTGTCCTTGGTGCTGGGGTATGAAGTCACGCGCCGGCCCCTCGCCACGCCGTGGGCTGCAAACGCTATGGGAGCTGCCAATGTAACATTTACTTACATATTATATCTGTGATATTATATATGTTGCGATATTTCCTTAGGTAGTTTTTAATGTTTTATTTACGTAGTTGCTTATTGAAAGAGAATTCTCTTATGTCTATAAACAAATGTTTCTATTGGCTTATTCAATCAACTGTACTTATTATTGACTTTTCCGGAACAAAATATTAATAAGTCAACATGTAGTTCAGAAATTTAAAATTAGTATATCCATTGGGAACGGGTGAGGAGTGCCGAGGAGTCGTTGGTTGTGATGATGATGACATCCATTGGTAACATTAGTACACCAAACTCAATTGGAAAGCAAACTTAAAAAATTTTTTTAGTAATTCATTTACCAGCACAAATGGCAGCAATGATTTTCCCATTATCCTCGTGGTCTTTAAGCAGAGCACCAACCTTCTCCGATTTGGAGAGACTGTCTGATCCTTCTAAGCCTCCTGGTAGAATCACCTGTTTGGAGAAAATTATTTATTTTTGTAGGTGACACCTGCAGTGCTATCTAATGCCTGTCAAAGTAACATTCATTGTAGTTGATGATGCCAAGTATTTTCTTCAACTTCAACTGAAACGGTGGTGCAAGACAGGGAATCTAATTTGTGGCTATGTGATGGTCGTGACTCGTGCCCCGGTTATTATGGGTTGTCACTAGCTAATCTTATTTTGGATCATGCCTATGCTACGTCTAAATGTTTAATAAACCTGATAGAACAGAATCATTAGCCATTAAAATCACAACTGGGGTGCATAATTCTAGGTTCAGGTTCCAAATTATGTTAACATAGAAATTGAGTGTACTATTGTAGATTTTTTTCTAGAAATGATGCAGTTTCTGCAGTTGCAAATGAACTTTGCTGTATAAGATTATTATAACGGTAAGGATACTCACAGCATCATACTGTTGTTTCTCGGCGAGGGCTTCGACCAGTGACTTGTCAGGTACTAGAGTCACTTGCCTGGAGCACAGCACAGGAGATGAACCTTCCAAGCCAGCTAGAGTAACTGTTACCTATGGGGAAATAAGGTCTTTTCAATAAGAAAAAAGCTTAATAATAAATTACTCATTGGCTAGAATACCACTATGATATTCCTTCTCATGGGTATAGAATGTAACCTTTGTTTTGTTTACTATGGAATCTGCAATGAGCATGAGCTGTGTGCAGGTGTGCTGTGAGACCTGGGAGTTCGTCCTCCAATAAAGGCAGCTCCTCTTTTGTAAATCATTTAGATACAATGTCCTTTTGTTTTAGCTATATAGTATCTTTTATTGTTCATAGCCAATTCATTTTCACTTCGCTTCATCCTCTCCTGATACAATTTCTTTGAAATTCTATGGATTTCGCCCTTTTTTTTTTTTTTTTTATTGCCTTTGTTGGCAGACGGGCATACAGCCCACCTGATGGTGAGTGGTTACCATCGCCCATGGACTTCAGCAATGCCAGGGGCAGAGCCAAGCCGCTGCCTACCAAGGTCCTTTAAGGTGATGATAAAAAGGTAAAAATATTCTTTATGAGTATGGATGCTCTCCGAGTATTATAATATTTTAAAGATTCATGATTTCAATCCTACCCTTCGTGTTCAAACCAATACCATAGTATAACTCTTATACACATAACATCATTATGATAACGTAATATGAAAAAACTATTCAATGATGTTGCAGTTGGGAGTGGACAACAATTATGCAACTGATGCACATTCGAGTAGAACAGCAATTGATCAGTATACGGTAAGTAGTAACTTTTTTATTGTTTAATTAAGATTTACAATTGAGCAGTGATCTAGTATTCAACTATTTGATAATTTATGGTCAATTTTCATTATGCAATTTTAGAATACACTAAATTTTCTATAGTAATAGGAGACTAGGGCTACAAGTTTTATATTATATTGCTAATACTATCAATCAGTGATCAGCCGAGGTGTTGGTCTATTTGTCATTTAGATTTTAGACTTTGTCGTTGACAGTTGTGGTAGCATCATGATTACCCGGAGACCATTGTAACTGAATAGTTGATAAAATGGTGTTAGTTTTTATTGACGAGCGAGAGTCCGCTATCTGGAATCACATTATCAGATCGTCAAGACCACATGACCGGCGAAATATGTCGATTAGCAAAAGTCTAATTACAATCCAACTGAGGAAATTCAGTCAACGGATTTAATGAATTAACACGTTAACAGTCCCTATACAAGCGTTCCGAAACACGCCATATGTCCAAGTGTGATTATATATTTTTTGGCCATTATGAGATGTCCACCTATCTGCTGATGCATTAAAAGTAATAAAATATGGTCGTTGACCCCGGATATACCCGTGTACAGCGGGCGGTACACGGACTTATGATTTAAATTACCGGGTATCTTTAACGTGTACCACAGGCTCATGAGTGTTCCAGTAGACGTATGTATGGTTAGTTTATTACCATATCGATGGTACACTTCCGCGGCAGACTACTTTTCCGCTAATACATACCCTCAAACACATAAATATATCATGAAGATCTATAAACTATGGTCTGCAGAACACTTGGGGATACCAAATTTACAATGGTCAAAATGTGCAAGTTTTTGGTTTGGATACCTCCGGAAGTATAGTAGTAACATTGGCAGAAGGTTTACTTGATGAAGGTCGCTGCATGATAACTGACAACTACTACACGAGCGACCCTTTGACAGAATTTATGCTTTCTCGCAATACAGACCTCTGTGGCACAATCACTAAAAAGAGAAAAGGTTTACCGAAAGAGAGAAGGAGAGAAAAGCATTCTAGCAGCACATGAAACGTTTAAGTTCAAGTTACGCCGCTGAGAATGACACATTTTTTGGAGTTTTTGGGCAAGAAAGAATCTCGATTCATCCGAAGACGATGCGTGGGATGCTGCCAAAACCTTCTTGATGAAGGTCGACTTGCTCCATATGCACAGGCCAAAGCCAAAAGGGTATCAACGCAATGTAAAATTTGCAAAAAAAGCATATTGCCTTGTTTGTTTTTCTAAACTTTTAGTTCACCTATTAAAATTTGTATCTTTTTTTCTAAGTTTTTTTATGTCGCGTTGCTATACTAAGAATTTAAAAAAAATATGACATGTTTTCGACTTTTTCCATTTATTAGATCCTTGGCCACAAGTCCACAAAGAAAACACTAACTAATTTGACAAGTCCGTGGATCTAGGCCCCGTAGAGAAACACATCGGCTCGTGTACCTCATAGGGTACACGAACTCGGCGGAACCGCTCACCGTGTACCACATAGGTAACACCGGACTGTTAACGTGTTAATTGACTACAAACCCCTCCTCGTCTCAGCATATCAACAGTTATAACTGTCTCCATCTCCTCTGCACCCTGCGCCAAAATCACTAACGCAGACTTGCTCATTGTTCTAAAATGAAAATAAACTAATATAAAACAGAAAAGCATGTAGTGTGCAAACAACAAATTAGATAGTTTTTATTTCTGGTTATTATTATTATGTAATCAGTAGGTATTACGATAAAAGTGTAATTAAAGTTTTCTTAAAGGTAATGATATGCCGGTTCAATTTGTTGTGTCCTCTATTTTGGTAGGTATTTTCACTTGATTCACGGCTAGATTATAATGTGAATCTAGTTAACGCCACTTATACAATTAAATTCCGCTAAAACAGTACGGTACCTTGATTTAAAAGCTCTATAATTTGCAAGAGTTTTTAAAAATAAATTAGAACGAGTAGACAATGACAACAGCAACATGAGAACCATAGATAATACACTTGATATTTATTAATTAAACATATTTGTACATATTTAAGTACTAAATTAATTATTAATTATGAACGAGTTGACAATTTCTGATTAAATTTATGTACGGTACCTACTAGTATACATAGATAATAGACTGTGTTTAAGAGAGTAAATTACCTACTTTGCCTTTGAAATTGTGTAGGTATTGTCAATTAATTGTCGTTACTATTATCATCTAAGCCAATCTAAGGCTTAAGGTTATTTGTGTATGGTGTAAACAAATTATCTATGCTCGAAACATTGTAAAAAATTACCTATATCGTCAAGTGTATAACAGTCTACACTATGAAGGGTTCCGTAACGAAATGAACTTAGCTTGATAAAACACCCACAAATATTTTAGCATCCATCAACATATTGTGGTCTCTTAGACCTACATATTGTCAAATCATTTTCCATTGCAAATTTTATTTAGGTTCATAAATTATTTTTATGCTTTATTTATGTCCTTAATAGGAGCACTAGAATTTGGAGGTACCTACACTTTTTTAACCTTACAAGCGCACAAAACAGCGGTAGCCGTCACAGAATATAAATCTGACACGATGTCTGAAACCGAAAAACGACATGATGCATCAACAACGTTGCGAGTCTTACAAAAAACTATCACGACAACCTAAACAATATATTATTATATCTATATTATATTATATATACCTGTAGGGACACAGTTTGTTATGTAAACAAAATTGTTCGTAGTCATAACATGCGGCTGCACTCGCAAGCTCCGTTGTTTTTTACTTTTTAAGTAACCGTCGTCTATGTACATTAGCATTCCCAGGGGCAGAGCTAAAACGCTGCCTACCGCTAACTACTGTATAAAAGCCTCGTTTTAAGGATATGTGCTTTCGGGAAGCACCATAGGTAAGTGGCAAAAAATATCTATGAAAATGCACTGTGGATGAACGCATTGATTCTAGGTGGTGTTATAAAATAGAGAACAAAACTACCTGCTCACTAATTTTCACACATCGCAACTGTTCAGATACCATGTTTTTGTTAACTTCAAAACACTAAATTTAAACTATTTCAAACAAAAACTATACATACATAATCACTAATTATGTACCCTTTCCTGGCTGAGCCTTTGCCCGCTCACCTGTTCTGGTGAAACTGGAAGGGCCTCCGGGCCACCAGTAATCCTTCAATCATAAAAAAGAAAACTAAGTACATGATATTATGAGTTATAGCCATAGACAATACACTTAATATTTAATATGTTAGCCCTTGAATATATTTGTCTATGCGCAGCTTCCTTTCTTTGGGTTATAACGTCAAATGATTAAAAAAAACTTGTTTTATTTTAATTTTTTCAAACATATTAATGGAAACTATGTAGTAATTAATTGATTCTACTCGAAAATATCTCTGTTAGGCTCTTGATGCGCAAGTTTAGTCATAAATTAGCGTAACATATTTTTAGGTTAGGCTTGTAGTCGTTACGGAAAAAAACTGAAGACAATTAAGCTCTTTAAATGCTGAATGGTTTTTAAAAATGGATTTTGTGAAAAGAGAAGAACATAATGCCGAAGAAGAGAATTACAAAATGTACATGGACAGTGTAAGTTTTAAAACAGTCTCTGTTTTTATCTACAATTTCGTAACTGTTCAGGGTTGTATTTTTTTTTCGTTTTATACTTCTCCTTTGCCCTTTCGAGATATATCTGTATTTTTACAGATCAGAAATTGAGTAGTTCTGTAATTGACCTATTATCGCTTAAGTACTGTGCGTAATAAATATTTTTTTTTAAATATTTTTTTTTTACATTAAGATTTTTTTCCATCAAACTATTAAAACTTCGAAGCATGCATTATTGTTACCTCTACAGCTGTCCAATGGTTTCTACCTTCTTTAGATTTAGGATAAAACTAAATTGTCTTGAAATGAGAGCTTGCGGTAAAGGTGCATATATTCATTGTTGTCCAACAGGTGTGGAATGTAATTCTCAAAATAAAAATACCATAACATAGAATATAGAAATGTATTAAAGAATATATAAATATATTGGAAACTTTTTCATTGAGTATAAATTACTATAAATGGTTTGTGTGTGTTTTGTGAACTCATGACACATTACAATTGAGATTAAATAGACATGTGAACTCTCTGGGCTGTGGTAACAACCATTAATTGAGTCTATTTGCTAATACAGTCTGAAAAAAAAAAAACTGGTAATTTTTTGTAGTTGAACAAAAACTTTTTGTTTTGTTGAGTGCAATCTGCATTAAAACAAATGAAGTCAGTCTATTTATTCACCTGAGCAACTGAAAAAAGAATATAATTTGATGAGACATCTTGTTTTAAATGTTTAGTTCTAAACATGTTTATGTTCATTTCACTATGAAGACGGGAACTTGAAATATGTACAGCACTGTAACTATCTTTAATATGCCGTTTTTCCATGAAATGTCCCGAAATCATATTATTAGTGCGAATAGTAGTGTTTATTAAATTTTTAACAAAAACTAAATATAAGTACAACAAAATTCCATTTTTTTTTATCAAATCAAACAGTGTAAGCTTAAAACAGTTGCTCAAGTATATATCTTATTAAGTGAGTCGACTATTATCAAAGCCGGTAATCTGACTTTTGGGCAATGATTGGTAAATCAGAAAAACAAATTATTGACTTTGTATTCCATTGGCAGTCACAAAACTCTTCGGAACGACATCTTAGATAAATAACAGGTTAACTATTAACCTTTATTTAATGCAGGTTTTGAACCGTATTCTTTGAAGGAGACGATTATATTCAAATCAATCTGTATTGACAAATCAATATATTTTTTTTGTCCAAATGCACAGATTGCCACCTTTGATAATAGACGACTCAAGTATTGTACTTCTTATAAATGCTATTTAATAGATTTGAATGTATATTAGTCTGTCTTTGACGATGCGCTGTAGCACTATTAAGTGATATGAGCTTGTCCACCCATCTTAGTATTAAAAATTTTTTTGGGATTAGATAATTTATTTAAAAACAATTTAAGATGAAAAGAAAAATCCTGTACATCATTTTTCAGCTTCAGAAACATCAGCTGGAAAGTGAATACCACACCCAAATTTCCATGGAGCAGTTGCATCAAGCTATGCAGTCCTCTCTGAACAACTCCGGTATAGTCCACAACTTCCAATTGCCACTCTCCCCANGTATTAAAAATTTTTTTGGGATTAGATAATTTATTTAAAAACAATTTAAGATGAAAAGAAAAATCCTGTACATCATTTTTCAGCTTCAGAAACATCAGCTGGAAAGTGAATACCACACCCAAATTTCCATGGAGCAGTTGCATCAAGCTATGCAGTCCTCTCTGAACAACTCCGGTATAGTCCACAACTTCCAATTGCCACTCTCCCCAAGGCAGATGTCCACTCTCATGCTAAAAACAAACCATTTAAGTAGAAGTTTGAACTTTAATGAGACAACACACCCTCAAAGGGACGAAATAGATTTACATCAAAACTTACGTCACGAGGAGGCCTTAAGGAATCTAGATGTTACATTATTTAGAAATGAATTAGAGCTTCAGAATAACCTGTCTCAAGCTCTAGTACAGAATTTGAGCGAGCAGGATCTACGTAACTTAGACTTGAGTCGAATAAATGAAGTGCAACTACAAAATTTGAGAACAGACATTCCATTGCATCATGAAAGTAATGTTAGTCAGGGTGGCAGACAGTTGGATCAGGAGTTAATGCAGGCGGAATCCAGACGCATTCCGGTTCAGGACAATCAAATAATAGACCACAATCTTACTCAAAGATTGACTCAGAATATGGAAAGGCTGGACCAGAGTATAGCTCAGCGATTAGGCCAAACAATTGATTTGAATTTTGCCCAACGCTTAGGGCAAAGTATTGAGAGATTAGACCAAAACATAGTACATAGATTGGGACAAAATTTGGATAGGATTGACCAGAGTGTTGTACAGAGGCTGGGGCAGACCGTAGATCAAAGACTGGTGGGTCAGGATGCTGGTCAAGAAAGGCTGGAAAATGAACACATAATACCGATGCAGTTCCACATTAAATCCGAACAAGAAGATGACAGTTACTTTTATGAAAATCCAAGTCAATCTTTGGATAGTGTTAACGGATTAAGCGGTAAGTGATTTCAATAATGAAATATTAATGAGTTCCCAGTATTAGTAAATGTAGTTGTGTATATGTGCCAAGCTGACCTCATGCTTCAAAGAGGGTAGCGTTCACATTGTGGAGTCTATATGTTATTATTATATTTTAAGACCTTCAATATTTGCCTATCATCAGGTCCATTATATACTAACTCGGTGACTACATTCGGTAGAGGGAATAGTGAACGCGCGACAGGAGCATCCAACGCGCGTATATCGGCGAAGACTCATTAGTATTCATTTCGTTTAGCATCAAATTTATAAATTTCTCGCTATTTTTAGGTTAACATATTATGTTTTTGATAACAAAGATGAGGTGATTGCAAAATTAATTTAAGTCTTCTCTGACCACTGAATGAATATAGAACCGGAAACTCTCTTCACTCTCGCATCACTTATATTTGACATAAAAGCCTTTATATAATCAGCGTCAGAACACTACTCCGACATAGCGGCGCGACACGAAACCTTTTTTCGTGGCCGTCGCTAATTATTTATCCAATTGCGATGAGGCAACGCACAGCCGCCGTCTGAAACATGTCTTGTCGGATTCACTAGGGCAAAAACGCACCAAGAGGTTGCGACATGATTTGAGGAGTACGTCGTAATCGAAGAGTCCGACGAGCGAACTAGTCCATAGACACAGCCCACTGAGCTTCTCGCTGGATCTTCTCAGTGGGTCGCGATTCCGATCCGGTGATAGATTCCGCGAAGCACTGCCATTGCTAGGGTTGGTGTTAGCAAATTCTCTCAGGTTGAGCTCGTGCACTCACCTACCCGCTCAGGGCGTAGCTGGAATAGCCTCTTAGGCCACCAGCGGATAGGTGAGGAAAAAAAAGAAAACAGATTGACAGACAGACAAAAAACAAATTTAAACATTATTCATGCTCTGACATGACCATGAAAATATACTTTTAGATCGAAATCGCAGACAAGACTAAATAAAAATGAATAAATAATTAACTTGAATGCTTTTTTTAACACTTTTGTGTCTCTTGGCTTGTTTGTATATTCACGAGTACGGACGGAATCTCGCGAATAAGATTTTTTCGGCCACTTTTATCCGAATCCCTTCCACAGCCCCGAGCAGTAGTAGCCAGCCACAATAGAGTAGTTTCTAGTAGTATCTAGTTGAAATTGCATTTTTTTTAAACTTGGGGGGATTATGCTAGATTCAGCGAACGTGTAGGCGAGCTCACAGGGCTCAGCCTGGTGAATTTGCTACTACTAGTCCTAGCAAGAGCAGTGCTTCGCTGAATCTACCACCGGATCGGAAACGCGACCCACTGAGAAGATCCGGCGAGAAACTCAGTGGGATGTGTCTGTGGGTTAATTTGCTCACCGAACCCTTCGTCGCATTCGATGTGTTTGACGAGAACGGTGACCGGTGCTTGAGGTACCTAAAAGCACCGTTAATGGACCGGGAGGATCCGTAATGACGTGTTTAGGGCGACGTCGACTGTTTACCATTCGGTCCACCGGATCGGGTATGGTGATCAGTGCTAGGAATGCCTTAAAGCACCAAAAACACGCCAAAACCCCATGTAACATGATAAAAGGACATACTACTCCGATCCCCTTATAACACAAGGACAAGAATAAGTTGAAATTGCCTTTTCGTTGAGAGGATTTTTAGAGAACAATACAAAAGGTTACCATCAGAGGCACCTGCGGAATCAATCCTTAGTAAGGCTTTTCATTGCCAAACGCTCCTCCCTTGGGGCGATTTACTTCAAAAGTCCTATTAACCGACTTTTGATTAATATTTGCTGGAAACGATGTGTGGACGACCTGATGGTGTCCATATTATCACCAGGGCCCAGAGATAACGCGAACCCTTTCGCCAATGTCACGAACTGACGCCCTGTGACATAAACGGATAAAGCCGACCGGCCACAATTAGGTTTTAACTTTCTCGAGTCTTGCTGATCACATTATTTAATGCCTCAACTCGAGAGATGATTCTCGCACACGACTTTGTTTAGTGCGGAAATTCGATGCGCTCTTTCTTTGGTGATTGATATATTGTTTATGTTTTCGATATCTGTTCTTATCGTTCGCTTATGTTGTTTGTAATTAAATCATGTCGTGATTGATACTCACCTTTTGAGTGCAAAGGGTTAATATTTGCACAGGGTTAATATAGGTTAATATATTATAACGCTCAATCAACAACAGAAAAGTTGGATTTTTGTTAGGCGTCCATTGTAAGACGCGGCGAGACTGGGGTGTCGGCGAGGAATCACTGATTTCCTATGATTCCCCGCAAATAATCTATCGGTATTTTGTCCGCACCATCTCCATGTCTATTCCATCATATTTAGTGCGAGACAAGATTGGATATAAAATGTTTTAGATTTAATTTTATCTCGGTGTTGACTTATAAAAGCTGCCTGACCTTTTCGAAGAGAGATACGTCGGAAGGTCAGTGGATAACTCGTTTCTAAGTTCACTTGTATACACGGCTTTCTAGATACTATTAATACTGTGCATTTTTTTAAACACCAAAAGCGGCCCATGTTTTCGTTCGAGTTAAAATAAACGAAATACATCTTTTAATTCTTAATTTCCTACTAAAGTCCAAATATCCGCTAATGAAAATTAAATTCACGTATGCAAAAAAAAAAACACCGTAACTTTGAAGATGGTTTGCCCTTTCTAACGCCCGAGATAATTTTCTTTTTCTTGTTGATTATATACATACACTGATAAATAAAAAAGGTAATGGAGCGAAATGAGATAAAGTTGATTTATTTTAGACTAATTAAATGGGGGCGAAATTAAATGAAACGATTAGATGAGATAAAAAAGGCGGTTATTTACGATAAATGTACTCTAAATGTACTATCTTTTAACTTTGATTACTTGTAATAAACACAACTATATACTAAGCCAAGCAGTCTAGCTCTATCAAAAGACGGTAGACTTCGTAGATATTCTAAATTGCTATCACATGTCCATCTATAGCAATAAAATCTTTTTTAAATTTATTTTTTCCGATAGACGATTATTTTCTAAATTGTTCAATATGTTTTTTGTTTTTAAATTAGAAAGAGAGACATTTAGATATTGAATCTACTGAGTCACTATTTACCTAAAAAGGACGCAGGAATTAAAGAAAACCAATTTAGAGTAAAACATTTTATTTACAATTATTTATTTCTTTAAGTAAATACTCTAATTGTATGCCACCTCCACTAATACATGCTCTACGTGATCTTAAAAATGATCTCAGTATATATTTAAAATAAATTTATCGATTGGTATTTTAAAAGAAAAAGATCTTAGAATCAATAGAACTAGTTGAAACTACATGGAATTTTACTCATATTGACGGTACTTTACAACCGTTGCTATACAAGCTATTTAAAGGATACTAAGGCAGGCCGCAATTAGGCTTCCGTGTCAGGAATTCTACGTTAAAGGCTCCCGTAACAAACACAATCCCTAGAAAATATTCGGCATGGCTAACACGTGTAGCTTAGGAGTATTCACAGGAAGAACAAACATGGGTATTTGGGTATAATTTGCTTTTTCTTTCCTTACCGGAGAACCAATAGACGTCTCAACACGATGCCGCTAACTTTTTTTTTTCCTACCTACCCTAACATCCTTGAGAGGCTATTTCAGCTTTACCCTAGCGTGTAGGTGAGCTCTCGGGGCTCAAACCGGAGGTATTGCTAACACTGGCCCTAGCAAGAGCGGTGCTTTGTAGAATCTACCACGGAAACGCGATCCACTGAGAAGATCCGGCGAGAAACTCAGTGGGCTGTGTCTATGGGTTAGCCGCCAACATTGAGACACCGGCCAAAGTTATACGTGTATTTTAAGATGGCTATGATGCTCCGCAAACTGGTACACACTTTGATTCTCGGCCGTAACAGGCCAATACGTCCTGCAATCTGAACGAGCGCAGTACATAGCTCAAAAACCACTGTCAGTCACGCACCGTTTCCTTAGTCGCCTCTAGTGACTGCCACGAGAGGAGACGGGCTGGTGCTCACCCGCAGTACAAAATAATCTTTTAATTACAGGTCAGATATCACAAGAAAGCACACAACAACCGACACAAACTAGTTCACAGGCTGACTTACAAATTTATCAGACTTATAATCATGTAGCTTTGAATTCGATCGACTTATATACGAGGCCCCAAAATTACATGTCGTTTTTCAAAGACAACCCGCAGAACTTGGTCGCCCGACAGTTCGAGGCGGTATCGTACGCGGATCGGCAAGATGGCGGCCCCAAGAGACGGCAAGATGGCGCCGAAAATACCGCGAAACAACAGCCGAAAGAGAACATGAAGCCGACCGACGAAAACAAAATGTACTACGACTATCAGATCGATTATAAAACTGAGAGCGTTAAACTGAATGAAGATTTAACTTTGAACATCAAAGGAGAGTACGTCTGTTATAAGTGCAACGACATATTTCCATCGAAGCGCGGCCTGAAACAACACTCGAAGAGTTGTCTAGACGAAGGAGAAAAGGACCGGGCTGGCAAGTTCGGGTGCACCCAGTGCTCCTACCGCTGCCAGTCGCCGGCGATCCTGAAGATCCACGAGCGCGTCCACTCCGGGGAGAAGCCGTTCTCGTGCACGTTTTGCGATTACAAGTCCGGCCAGAAGAACAACGTCGCCAAGCACATCCTTGTTCACATGAAGGAGAAGCCTTTCCGGTGCCAGTACTGCAACTACAGGTGCGCCCAGAAGAACAACCTGGTTGTCCACGAGCGCACGCACACCGGCTTCAAACCGTTCGCCTGCTCGTACTGCGCCTACCGGACCGTCCAGAAGCCGAACCTGGTCAAGCACATGTACCTGCACACGAACCAGAAGCCATTCAGCTGCGACCAGTGCAACTACCGGTGCGTCCAGAAGACGAACCTGACGAAGCACAAGCTGCGGCATCTGAACGAGAAGAGCGGCGAGAAGCTGGACGTCAGGAACGTGAAGCCGTACCGGCCGCGGCAGAAGAGCGTCAAGTGCCACATGTGCGCGTACCGATGCGTGCAGAAGTCGAGTATGGAGAAGCACATGAAGTTCGAGCACGGCGCGAGCTTCGAGCAGGAGGGCGGATCGAATGACGCCATACAGAACCTGAGCGTGAAGAAGGATGATTACTACGCCGACAAGAGCATGGAGGCGTTGCCGGCCCCCGCGGTGCCCTCATAGCGCCCCCCGAACGAACAATTAAACTATAAGATTTATTTTTCTCTAGTGATTAAAAAAAATGTGGCGAAATAAAGAATATTAACGAATCAACCGTCTCTGTCTGTTAGTTTTTTCGGTTAGCGTTCGTAAAGCAAAATGTCTACAGTTTCCCAAAGTTTGGTTTGTCATTTTCGTCGCGGTGACTTGATGTCTCGTGTCGCATGCCTAGCGGCTTCCTCAAGAGCCAGTTGCACCTCGGAAACGGTCTGCCTTTGACCATAGTTTAGCGTGGTGGAACGACGTCGACGCGAGCGAAGGTGAGGTGGTGAGGCGACTTTGAATAATCGACACTTAAAGTAAGAGCGAAGTAATCAAATGTGAATTATTTTGTATGAACATAACAATCTAGAAAATAAAACGAATGTAAAAAATTTGTTCGCGGTCAAAGGTTTTGTCTCTAATACGTTCACGAGGAGCTGTGTGCTTAGTGTGAGTTTTTTAACGTTTTCGATAGCGTAAAAGTTAACTCATTTTTATATGCATTGTTATAACAGCGCCCCTAGCGGCAAAACTGGAAAAACGTTCCAACTCTATACAATTTGAGTTATCTTTTACGCTATCGTTATATATATATATTTAAATTTTTTTTCTATATTTTTATTGGATTTACTATTGAAAGCGTATTTTGTTAGTTTTTTAAACTATTATTTATTTTTCAATTTTTTGTTGAATTTCAATATTTTTTTTAAATATTGAATTGTTATCGATCCTTAACAAATATACTAAATTTCGAGCTAATCCCGACGTTTTGAAGGGGGTCAAAATCATGTTCAAAGATTTCGTTACAAACATACATACGTCTGAAGCTAATAAAAGCGTATTAAAAACTCTCATTAAGCACACTGCTCATATTTTCATACGACTTAATTCGGATACAAACGATGCTTTATGTACGTATTGAATCCAGCCACGGTTTTTGTGGTCTGCGTGTACTCGTTCTTAAGTCGTATGTGTGTTCCGATGGTAGCAACACGGGCAAATCTAAGCTGGGGACTGAATGAAATTGAAACAACAAATAAAATCTCTCCTGTGAAAGTTTACTTGGCCAACTGCGGTGTGCAGGCGCATTTCTCTCGTCGCGTAAAAATCATATCGAGGGGTGAAAGATTATTTGGTTAAAGCAACATTTCGCAACTTTACAAGAAAGCCATCTAAAGTTTAAATTTTGGTAACAATATCATAAGAAAAAAAAACTTCAGATTATTTGAATGAGGTAAACTTAAAGTTCAATTAAAAACATCGAACATGTTGATGCTGATATCAAATAAGGTAGGTACCACCATCCCGCCTATTTCTGCCGTGAAGCAATAATGCGTTTCGGTTTGAAGGGCGGGGCATCCGTTGTAACTATACTGAGACCTTAGAACTTATATCTCAAGGTGGTTGGCGTATTTACGTTGTAGATGTCGATGGGCTCCAGTAATCACTTAACACCAGGTCGGCTGTGAGGTCGTCCACCAATCAAAGCAATAAATAAAAAAAAACGCACCTTTAATTAGAAAGATAAATGTCGCTTAAACCAAATAACCTTTAACCCCTAGCTAAGTATGTGTATTAATTTCAATAATCACGGCTCAAGTCGATATTATTTGTGAAACGTAATTTTGAAACGATTCCGTGATTAATATTACTTTATGTATTTTATTTTTTTCTAATGAGATCCGAATTTTGCTCGTTAAAATAATAATGCAATAGTATTTGCATCGATACGATTAAATTGATTTCTAAATTTAAATAAAAGCTAAGTAAATAAATGTCTAATGAATATCAACACTTTCCCGCCTTAATATTAGTTTTAATTAAGAACATTCTCAATAACAAAAAGGAAATTGAAAAAAAAAAGAACCAATTTCCAAATGTCACAATTTTGAGATTTTTTGCAAAACAAAAACTAAGGCGTCGACATTATTATTTTAACATGTCACCGGTGAATGTTGTGATACTTATAATTAAGTTAATTGTAAGTAAATAAATAAAATAAGCTCTCATTTGTTCCTCTAAAAAAACGAAAAAAATATTTTAGCAATATGGCGCTTGTACAACTAAAAAAAAACAGAATACTCGTAGGCACTCAAAAGTTTCGTAAAGTGAATCCCGAACTTCGTCGCTACTTTTAAAATTTTGCATCTCAAATACAAAGTTATAAGATAGAAATAGAACAATTCCATAAAATATTTGCAACAATAATTGTACACTGACAAAAAAAAATGTCTTTTTTGTCGCGTCATGTTTAAAACCGAATGACAAGCCAGAATACAGTGTCCGATGCATTAATAAAACTTCAAATACTCTTTTTGCGTATAATTTAAATAAATATCCGATAAAATTCAACATAAACAAATTAAAATTTATAGTTATGTGCACCAGCATTAAATATTAATATAGCAACCGGACTCACTTTTGCATTTATAGACTTAAAATGTTTCTTTCGTCACCGGAGAAGCTTTGCTTAACCTCTACGTGAAATCGAGAGCGGCATATATGAAATGATGAACAATTTGAATCATCCAATGTTACAATCAATAAAAATAAAACATTTTAAATAAAACATCAGTTAATAACCCCATAAATTACGCATTGAATCTTAAAGAAAAACCAAATTTATTAATAAAATTCACATGAAAAAACTGTTCACTTTCCCGCCAAAAACGTTAAAGTGAAATCGTCTAAACACTAAATATTGTACAAGCTGCCATGTTATATTTTTATGAATTTGAAATAGAATTAAGGGCTGTGACTGTTTTGTGCGTTACCAACAATTGTGTACTTCGTGTAATCTAATAAATTCATCACAATTTTTCAAGTGTATGTATTTAATTTGGGATTTTTTTAGCCTGATGATTTTTCTAATTCTTTTTATTTTTTACTGTCGATTAAATGCTTACCAAAGTGTATTTCTCTTTTATTCTTTTTATCATTAATATGTAAAGTTGTTTTGAAGAAGACTGAATATAATAGCCGCTGTATCCTAAGACGCATAGCGGAGTAGTTTATGAAGTAGCATATCTTAGAAATATTGATTTTGTACGGGATCACCGATCATTACCATAATGAGGTTAAGAGGTAAGAGGTTTTTTTTAAATATCCCAAATAATACAGGTGATTGTAAACCGTTGTAATATTAAAATTAATGAATAGTTTATATAAATGTCCCTAGAGAAAAGACCAATGCCAACTTGTTAAAAAATACAAATATATGTTAAAACATTTTAAACAGGTCGTCATTAATTTTATTAAATTTAGTGCCATCTCGTAGTGTTCTTCAAATGTACTGTTGATTTTCAATAGACTGCATATACGCATCAAAAGATGACGCTAGTGTTCCGATTTTAAAGAACAATTGAATTTGGCGCCATCTAGGAGTTTTGAACGCAACTACGCGAAATATTTATACGACTTATCGGAATGAAAGGAAAGTTAGANTCCAAAGTACGCTAACCTTTTTTATTGAGTCAGAACTCGTATCTGCCATCTAGTGAGTTTATTAGTTCATTAAGGCCAAAACGTTTCAAAAATGACCTCGCCGGTTCCTAAAGATGACGCTAGTTGAATGTTCTTTTCCTTTGTATGGGAGTTGCACCCCCCTGCTACTAGCAATGAATGCGGACCGCACGATGCGAAGTGATAGCAGTTGCTAGTCGCAGGACATCAACTATGTTTATTCACAGAGCTAGGGGTAATTTTATTCAACAGTTTAATGAGTCGGGCTATAAACCCCGTTCAAGCGTAGCTGGAATAGCCTCTCAAGCTACCAGCGAATAGGTAGGGGACAAAAAAGGCTACAAAATTAAATGATCTTTATAAATTTTGCAGATGCTTTGAGCGCTATGACATATCCTTCTTCAAACGAGGTTTGTCTAGAGTACCTACTTAACGGTAGGCAGCGGCTTGGCTTGTCCCCTGGCATTGCTGAAGTCCATGGGCAACGGTAATCACTCACCATCAGCAATACCGTCTTTACCATAAGGGCACACGGGGCTCGTCCCAGGGCCCCCATTCTCAGGGGGCCCCGAAGAATTTGGTTACCAATTGTAGTCGAGAGCGGTCATTTTCGCAGCTTAAGAGAATAAAAAATGAATTGCGAACAACAATGTTACAAGAACGGCTGAGTAATTTGTCAATTATGGGCATAGAAAGTGATATCCTTCAAAAAATTGACTTTAAAGATATAATGGAATATTTTGCTCAACAGAAATCCCGAAAGAAACCATTATCGTAATCGTAACCAAAAAACAAGCAGCATTCTAATATAAATAATATTATTATATCATACTGTATTTGATTACCTATAATAAATGGTCATACTCAGTAAAAAAATGTTATTATAATTCCCTTTTTTTACTTTCCAAAAGGGCCTCAAACTCTTGAGTGCCCAAGGGCCGCAGCCTAGTTTAAGACGTCCCTGACCATCAGGTGGGCCGTGTGCTCGTCTGTCTATAAGAGCAATAAATAAAAAGAATACGTAGTATAAGCACGGATCAGTCATGAGTTCTAGTTTCATAGCTGTTCTGTTTTTTTTATGATTGAAGAATTACTGGTAGCCCGGATGCCTTTCCAGTTTCACCAGGACAGGTCCGTTCTATTGTACAGATGCGACTTAGACCTCTAGTTTCAAGATGGCTTATTTTTGGGAAGGAGGGAAGGCTGGTGGAGGCCTTTCTAACTTCACTAGGACTTTTGAGACAGTGGCGGAAAACCTTGCGATGTTTTTTTATATTGCTTAAAGATGTGGACGAGCTTACAGGCCACCTGTTATTAATTGCTTACCGGAGCCCATAGACATTTACAGCTTTGCGTAAACGCCGCCACCCACCTTGAGAGATGTGTTCTAAGTTCTCAGTATAGTTACAACGGCTGCCCCACCCTTCAAACCGAAACGCATTACTGCTTCACGGCAGAATTAGGCAGTGTGGTGGTACCTACCCGTGCGGACTCACAAGAGATCCTACTACCAGTACAAAAGTTTTTGGCTCCGATGACCACTACGCCACTTACGCTCAAATAACCTTGCCGTCCTGTCGCCTCATGAAACACACGATCGGTGCCACCGTAAGACACCACAGTCATACGCAACAATACAGTGTATTTTTTTATTAAAAAAAATTTCATTATTAAAGCCTTTTGTATTATGTTTATTTAAATAAATATTTTTTTACTGTAACAACATTTTAAATTTATTTGTATTCCAACTTTTCTTAAAATATGAAGTTAAATTATACATTACCAAAACGTGAAGGCAAGAGTATACATTTGCCGGGAACTGTACATATAGATTATATTCAGTTCACATATACCTAGCTTTTTGGCAAAGGTGCACATTTACGGAAAAAGTGTACATTTCCCAAGAGTGTAC